TTCCTAGCTGAACCTGCGAATTTAGTTTAAAATAGTAAAATTACTTCATGACTCCTGGGCCAGAAAAAATATTTTTAACATCCATTTCTTGAAGTAAATAAAAACCATGTTAACAAATTCAGAGTATACAATACAGGGTTTACAATACAAGTAAGTCTTCCCTCCACTCCTGACCCACCATCTTCAAGTTCTTGCCTACTTATTGAAGAAAATCATTCCTCCTGTGTGTCTACTTTCAATACTCTCTGAATACTCTGCTTAATTCTGACTCTTCTGCTCACAAATGTGTTGGGAGTGGGTTGGGGGATAGATTCCCTCACACCAAGCAACTCTCAGATTCTCCAGGTACCAGTTGTGTGTCCTACAATTCAACTCAATTCTGACACTGTCTATTATGTGGAGCTAGCCTCAGATCCCACAGGTTAAGGGCTCAGTTCCACAAGACTGGTCTCCTTCTCTCACTTGAGGCTTCAGTCACAAGTCCAGGCATTCCTGTATTTCTGAATGACTGTCTATTAATCAGAGGTTCCCATGACCCCCTCCTCAGGTTTGATTAATTTATTGGAGTAACTCACAGAACTCAGGAAAAACAGTGTATTCACTAGATTACCAGTTTATTACAAAGGATATTAAATGACATGAATGAACGGCTAGATGAAGACAAACTTGGGTGAGTTCCAGAAGGGTACCAAACATAGGAGCTTCTATCCCCTGAGTGCGGGTGCACAATCCTATCAGCACATGGATGCATTCCTGTTCACCAACCTGGTAGTTCAGTGAATTTCGTCCTTTAGGTTTTTATGAAGGATTTATTACTTAGGCATAATTGATTTAAAAATTGGCCACTTGCCCGGCTGGCGTGGCTCGGTGGTTGAGCATCGACCTATGAACCAGGAGGTCATGGTTTGATTCCTGGTCAGGGCATATGCCTGGGTTGCAGGCTTGATCCCCAGTGTGAGGTGTGCAGGAGGCAACTGATCAATGATTCTGTGTTATTATTGATGTTTCTATCTCTTTCTCCCTCTCCCTTCTTCTCTGAAATCAATAAAAATATATTTTTAAAAATTAAAATGAGCCCTAATCGGTTTGGCTCAGTGGGTAGAGTGTCTGCCTGCGGACTCAAAGGTCCCAGGTTCAATTCCGGTCAAGGGCATGTACCTTGGTTGTGGGCACACTCCCAGTAGGGAGTGTGCAGGAGGCAGCTGATCGATGTTTCTCTCTCATCGATGTTTCTAATTCTCTATCTCTCTCCCTTCCTCTCTGTAAAAAAAATGAATAAAATATATTTAAAAAAGAAATTAAAATGAAAGTTGGCCACTGATGATTTATTCAACCTCCTCAGAGGTGAGGGTGGGGTCGATTCAATCCTTTAATCTGGTGATTGGTTGCCCTGGTAACTAGCCCCCATCATTAGTGGCTTTCCAAAAGTTGCCTCATTAATATAAACTCAGATGTTGTTGAAATTATGAATAACAAGACACTTCTTTCACATTTGTCACTTTGAAGATATGCCAGGAGGACAAAAACCAATGTTATAACAGAAGTCCCTATTGCTCTGGTCATTTATGAAATATCAAGGGTTTGGGGAGCTGTGAGCCAGGAGAGAGGACTAAGACCAAATATACCTTTCTTGTTATAAATCACCATATTACACTGCACTTCACTAGTGTGCATCAATTCAAAATACTTTCCTGATTCAGGCATGTAAGATGAATAATGTTTCCATACATTATGGTGTTTGTTGTGTAATACCATCTTAAATTGTATTCTTTCAGCACTACATAACTTATTTGCATAACTTTGTTCTTTACTTCTGAATAAAAAATGCTCTTTTTTCTTGTTTTGGAAACACCTGACCCTCTCAGTTTTTCGTTTTCTTCACCTTTGATATAAAATAAATAGAGGTTCCCTTTCCTCTGATTTTACTAAAGAAAATAAAAGGACAAGCTTCATGATAGATGGCAATTGATGAACTCTTCCATTTCAGGAAGACTTGAGGAAGGAATGTGAACTCCTGGACAGGACATGCATGTCTGAGGACATGCAAGAACTACTACCTGGCTCCTTGTTTCATCTGATGATGATGATGATGATGATTATTATTATTTTGCATGTAGGCTTGATGTTGTCAGACCTGATACTTTAAGAAAAAACATATTTTTTAAAACATGAAATTCCTTGTTTTTTAAATGTTGGCAATAAACCCAATATTATTTTTAAAATACTGAAAAGGACAACACAAGCCAAATGAAACAGGTCTGCAGGCTGAATTTGGACCAATGGTGGCAGTTTGATTACTAATATTCTACCCTTTTTCCCTCATGTGATACTATATATTAAACATTGTTCCTCATCAGGACAAAGAGGTCTTACCTCACAGGCTTTCTTGGCTAGTGTGAATATAATGTAGGCCAGTGGTCGGCAAACTCATTAGTCAACAGAGCCAAATATCAACAGTACAACGACTGAAATTTCTTTTGAGAGCCAAATTTTTAAACCTTAAACTATATAGATAGGTACATTGTTATTAACTTAATTTAGGTACTCCTAAGGCTTAGGAAGAGCCACACTCAAGGGGCCAAAGAGCTGCATGTGGCTCGCAAGCCACAGTTTGCCAACAACAGATGTAGACGAAAGGGGCCACATGCTGACCTAACAAGCTCAGGGGAGGCCTGCATGGCAGTCTTGCAAACTCAGAGACCTAAAGCAACCACAAAGGATGGTCTGAAATTAAACTTTAACTAAAAGCAGTTATGGTGGGCAGTTAGGTCCACCTTTACCTTAACTGAGCTTATCTGTCTTTTTCCATCTATGATAACATACCCTTGAAGTGTCTGGGTAACTTGTAACTTCCCTTTTTCTGGACCCCTTGGGGTACAACCTAATGTGCTGGGCTCCAGGACAGATACCACAAATTCCTTCATTATCATGTTAATTGTTCCTGCACCCACCTAAGTATGTGTCCATCATTTTACTTTTTATCCAATCCCAGGGGCTCCCCCCTTACCCCCCCTTTGCTTTCTCCCACCTCTCTAGTCTATCACCAATGGATTTCATGTAACCCACCTACATCTCTTCCTTTGACTGCAATGTATAAAGACAGATGTAACCTGCCATTCTCCAGAGCATTATCTCAATTCGTTGAGGTTCTACTTCCCGGCATATGTCGACAGTTTGGCTCAAATAAACTCACAAAATTCTTTACAGGTTTCAATTCTTTACAGGTTTTTTTACGTTAACAATAATTTATAACTAGCTCTTAGCTATGGACATTTGTGTTGTTAATTAAATAAAGGGGACATTAGACAGATTGTTTTAATGCCCTGTCAGTCTACAAAGCATCCCAAAACCTGAGCTTATAAATGCTTTAAGGTTAATAAATCAAAACCTGAGACAACCAATCACGAACAGCCAACTAGGCTTTCCCAAAGAAGGCAACCACTTAAGCTATAGCCCATCAAATAATTTTCTTGCTTTACTTCCTTGTCATTAGAGAAGTGTTCCACCTAGCTCCTGTTGGTGGAGCACTCCCAACAACTTCCAGCTTGTCATTGCCTGACTCAAATCAATTCTTTTTTTTATCAAATAAACTCTTAAAGTGTTTAATTTGCCTCAGGACATCTTTTAACTATTGATTCCAATCTTTTGCTATTTCATGCAATGAAGAAATAAACACTATCATGCATACATCTTTGCACATACATGGGAGTGCTTCAGTAGGACAGATGCCTAGAGATACAGTCACAAAACAATGGTTTTGTATAATGTAAAGATGACCCATGTATGAAAGGGGTTGGTTTCTCTTATTCTTGAAACACACACACACACACACACACACACACACTCCCACAAACAACTAGCAAGTAACAGAAACAAAGAAATGTTTGTGCAGCTCTACAATCCCGGAAAGATCTAGTTTGCACAGGTCATTATAGCAAGTTCCTATCTGGGCCTGTCTTTAAAACAGTCACCGCAATAAACATAATAAAGAAAATCTCCTGAGTCCTGCATTTGGGAAGTTTGCTCTGACTGAGTCTCTACCGGGTGCAGTTGTGAATGGATAGATACTAACTCAGGATTCTGATCTGAAAGGAAATTGTTTTATGCTTTGTGTTTGGGGGAGGGGGAAGGGGGATGCCCTTGAAGTGGAGCAGGGACACAGGGCACTTTAATTGTGGCTATGCCACCAACTGCTTTCATTACCTTTCATAGGTCATATTCCTTTAATGGATCCGTTTCCTCATAAAACCTAAAATGGTAAGAGTTGAAGAGGGTAAAAAAAAAGGGGGCGGGCCTAAAGCCATAGAACACTCTTAGGTTCCTTAGAAAAAGAATGAAGACAGAAAGGGGAAGGGGGCCCAGGATCTCTCAGACCTGGGCCCCTCCAACATGGAGAGGTTTGGGAGAGGAGGAACCAGCAAGAGAGAGTAGGGAGAAAAAGGAGAAAGTAACGTCCCGGAAACCAAGAAGGGTGCTGACTCCGGAGCGGAACGCTGAGGAGTCAGTGACCCAGACTGACAGCGTGGGATTGTTAGACATCGACACGAACCATTTCAACAAATGGGTGAAATGAAAAACCGGACGGAAGCCGGCTGAAGACTGACTGCAGGAAATCATTTCTGATGCCTTTATAAACGGCACAAGCGTATTCCAACCCCATAACGGGCCTACTTGATCTGAGCCCCTTTCAGACATGACCTTCGGACCCGTCTGTGACTCCTGCCTCCCTGAGACGGTTCTAAGGGTTGGAAAAGGCTTTGTAAACAAAGGCGCCGAAAGACCGTGGCGAAGGAGCAGCCGCTGGTTTTTATTAGTCTCTTATTGTCCTCATTGTGTACTCTGTAGAATTCTCCAGGCTCCCTCAATACCTACATTTTCTCAAATTGGTACCAACCAGTGAGAATTTATCGATCCCGAGTCCCAGCCCCTCACCATCGTCCGTCCCAGCGCAAACACCCCACCCCGACTCCCCGCTCCCCAGCTCTAGCCTTCAACCCGCAGGGCTCAGAATTCCAACCCGGAAACCCAGCCGGCGGAGCGGGTTGGGGGCGGGAAAGTAGATGTGCCTGGGCTCCGAGCGCATGCGCGAACCCTGCCCGGACCGTTTGTGCTGCTCTCCCAGAAAGGGTAGGGGTGGTGGTTTGCCTGACGGACCGAGTACGGGTGCCGGGCGGGCTCTCGCGGAAGTCCATGCGCCATTGGGAGGGCCGCAGTGGCTTCTCGGTGTCCTTGTTGCCCAGGGCCCTTTCCTGGGTTCTTCCTGGAGCAGGAGCCGGACTGGGACTGACACCCGGCTCCCGCGTGGCCGTCTCAGCGCCGGTGCGACCTCCTCGCTGGAGGGATGTGGCGTCTACGCCGGGCCGCCGTGGCCTGGTAAGTGCAGGCTGCGACCTGGCCCCGTTATTTCTAGGGCCTCTGGAAACCGGGTTTGCCCCATCATACTACCCGACGTGCAGATGACGCTCAGCACAGGCGGTTGAGGATTCCGGGATGTTCTTGAGGGCCTGGAGGGACTGGAGCCCTCACTGGGCTCCTGCACTGTCCTTGTCCCAGCTCCTGTGCCCCTCGAGGCGCTGGGCGCCTTTCCGCCTTGGCCTGTCTCGGTTGCCCCTGCCCTTTTCACCCTTCTGACCTCGCCGTCATCTCTGTCTCCGGTTGCTTCTAGTTTTTGCCCTCTCCCTCCCGGGTCTTTGGTTCTCTCCGTGCGCTGTCTTGTCCGCGTCTATCCTAACTCTCCTCTCTCCACGCCGGGCGCACCTGCTCGCGCGGGTCCTTGCGCTCTCCCCCGGGTGGCGGGGCCTCTGCCTCTTGCCCCAGTCCACGGAGGGAACGCGATCTGGGGGTCAGGTCTGCAGCAGTGACGCCGACGGCGGCGGAGATGGAGATGAGAGATACCCTCTTCATAGCAGCCTTGTTCAGAGTTTAGGGAAGGAGCCTTGGTTGGGGATGCAAGGTGGGAAATGTGGCACCGCCTTTCCAATCACACTGTTACTGTTGCCCTGGCCTGGTTTAATCCTAAGTAGAAAGTCACAGAGGACTTTTCATTTCATGGGTTACTATATGCATTTTAATGAGATTCAAATGACTATCTTTACGTGTAGTTGTATTTTAATATCCTTAGATACCTTTAGAGTTCACTCATTCTTGCAGGCATTTGATAAAAAGTAATATACTTTAAGCAAGGCTGAAAAAAAACAACACTTGGTTTTCCCGATTTAACTCAGTCTGTAAACCAGCGGTTCTCAACCTGTGGGTTGCGACCCCTTTGGGGGTCGAACGACCCTTTCACAGGGGTCGCCTAAGACCATCGGAAAACACATATATAATTACATATTGTTTTTGTTGATTAATCACTATGCTTTAATTATGTTCAATTTGTAACAATGAAATTGGGGGTCACCACAACATGAGGAACTGTATTAAAGGGTCGCGGCATTAGGAAGGTTGAGAACCACTGCTGTAAACACGTGTCTTGAATTTTTTAAGAAGGTTTAAAAATAGTTTAGATAACATAGTATTTATTTATAAAGAATAAAATCCATTTATTTTGTGAAGCTTATCTTGAGTTTAAGTTCAGAACTGGATGGCATACAATAGTTATAGTTTTGTTAAATAGAATAGTGGAATAAATTATTTCCAATTTCATTAAATTTTAATTTCTGAGTAAATCCACAGTCCTCAATACTAAAGTTATTTACAACCTTTTCATTTCTACTCAGTATTTACTGGGGAAACATCTAATTTTCTTTAAAAAGAGAAAAGACTGCAGAAAATAGCATACTTGTTGAAGCAATTAATATCTGTAGGAAAAACTTTAAAATTGAATTTAAAAACAAATTGATTAATAACTGATATTTGTTTATTCAGTTGCATGCTGTTGGGCTAAATTAATTCTAAAGTTACTGTGGACTCCATAGAGTTTTGGATCAATAATGGCATCTTATGTTGATAACACAGTTTCTCTACCTGCAGAAGTAGAGATGTGAAAAGCCAAAACCCCAAGCTCTGGAATTTGTCTTTTGTTACGCAACATGCTTCCTCTGCATGTTATGAAGAAGTACATTCAATTTCCTGTTCTTTAACAGATGGGAACATAAACATTTTTTGAAACATATATCTAAGCACATGCTGATGGACATGTAAGGAGATCAATGACCAACATTTATTTAGGTGCAATAAATATTTGTGTAAAATTGTTGAAAAAAATAAATACATATTAGGGAATGATGTACAGATTAGAAGAGATGGCAGATGAGAGAGAACAGATGATTTCGGGGGGAAACCTTATGTTGGTTCATGTTTGATTTTTAGTTTGGCTGAATATGGAAGTCTGTTCAAAATTCTTCTGGACTGTGAAGGCATTGCTACTTTTCCCCCCCAATCATTCTTTGTTATTAATACAAACTCTCAGGACAATCCTATTTTGTTTTTGTAGGTATCCTGTTTTTCCCTTCATGGAAGGAAGCTTTTAGGATTTTGGCCTTACTTAAAAATTCTCAAGGCTTGTCCAGGTGTGGATCTTACCCCTGTCCCATTCTTTACCCTCCCACTCCTAACCCCCAGTCATCTGGTCTGACACTCAGTAGGCCTTTCTGTTAAAAAGATTCTTTCTTCAGTTCTGGGAAATATTTCTTCTTTTATTTCTTTATTTTTTTTCCTTTTATTTTTCCTGTTTTTTTTTTCTTTTCTTTTTAGATATCTATTATGTGAATATTGTTTTTGTTTTTAGACATGTATTATATGGAAATTATTCATGATTTCCAAAACATGATCTGTATCTATCATCTGTTGGAGAAATATGCATGTACCAAAATCTGTGTATATGCACACTTTTAAAAAAATTATAAATATACCTCTGTACTAATTAATTATTTACATTATAAATTGACCCTAATATAGTCTTGAAGGACAAGATACAAACAAAACAAAACAACCTGTATCTAGAAGCTTTGGTACTTTCTTCCTGAATCCCATAGATCATTTTGCTAATACCGGGTGCATTCCACACACACCCCATTTTGGATACCACTCCTCTGAATCACTTAACTTTTCTCTTATGGTTTCTACTCATTTCTTTATATTCTAAGTTCTGGATAATTTCCTTAAATCATTGTCTGGTGTTGCTGTTCTTTATTTTATATTGGCCTTTACAGCTTTAATTTTCATGAACTCCTTTATAACATTTATTAAACTCTTAAAAGATGTGTAATTCTGTAACTTTTGTATTGTTCTCCAGTTGCTATTTTTAATACAACCTGCTTCTATTTTATGTCTGCAGTATCTTTAGGAAGCCCCCTGAGAATATTATTACAAATTTTTTAAAGATTTTTTGTTTTTGTTTTTTAAATATATTTTATTGATTTTTCACAGAGAGGAAAGGATAGGGATAGAGAGCAAGAAACATCGATGAGAGAGAAACATTGATCAGCTGCCTCCTGCACACCCCCCACTGGGGATGTGCCCGCAACCAAGGTACATGCCCTTGACCGGAATCAAACCTGGGACCCTTCAGTCTGCAGGCCGACACTCTGTCCACTGAGCCAAACCAGTTAGGGCTATTATTACAATTTTGTATCTTCACTTTTTTTAAGATTAACAGTGTTATCTATCTTGGTCCTTATTTTAAGAGTTGCTGATTTTCTATAAGAGCCTAGTTATCTAATCATATTTAAACATGAAGGACTAATGATGTATATAGATGCCTGTGTGGGTTACATCTGAATGAAAAGGCTGATTTAGCAAACTGTTTTAGGTATACAATATGTCAGTGAGCAGGCTTCATTTTAGAGTTCTTAGGGAGTGGGCAGGCTATCTGTTGTTGTTACAAATACCAGTATTGTTGGGGCCCACTCTGGGAAAACCCCCTCCCTCCACTAATACTCCCCCCCCCCCCCACACACACACTTTCATGAGTCTTAGCTCTTCCTTGCCTGATTGCTTAGTGTACAGACAAGTGTTGCTGTTAACACTCAGCTGCATTGGAATAGGGTGGAGGATGACCCAAACCATCTTTCCCCAGTTGGGGCTTCAGTAAATCTCAATTTTTTTCTCCTGTTTTCATTCTCTTACTGTATTTCAAAAGGATGAAAAAGTCTTGTATGCCCATTGATCTTTTAGATCATCCTTATGAATTAGAAGCTCTAGAAGTAATCTTTGAGGATGGCTTTTCAAGTACGAGGATTTTGCTTTGCATCAACTATCTCTTCCAGGGGACTAATTGAAGAACATTTTACATGTAGTTCCTGACTTGGACTACCATACACTCTGTCTTTGCCCCCATGCATACATATTTCTGCCACCATTGTAGAAGTAGGAATTTTAGGGGTTTGGAAATAAAGGATGGAGTAAGTACAGCAAGCTCTTGAATAAAGTCATTGAACAGCGTCGTTTCATTATAACATTGATGAGATGCCGTAGGCACTGAATTCTTGTTTAGTCTATGGTAAAAACTGGTTTTATTATGCATCATTTGGCTTCAAGTTGCACTACCAGAACCTATCAATGACGTTGAGGACTTACTATAAAATAAAAAACATCTTAGGGATATGACTACTCAGTCCTGCGGTTCATCTGTTTTGGTTATATATTTGGATGAACTCTTTTCTAAAAACTGCAAATAATTTCTTAGGTTAAAGAGCTGTTCATACATTCATGGAGGTTAGTGCAATTAATGTTGAAATGACATTTATTGAGCACCTTTTCTGTGGTCTTTGCTAGGTTCTTTCACCTTTTTAAAAATTTTGCTACTTAATTACCCCGATAACATATTCATTAAGCAAATTTATTGAGTGTCTACTATTTGTGAGGCATTGGGCTAGGCTTAGAAATACAATGGTAAGCAAAACAGACCTTATGGAGATTGCAGTTTAATGGTAGAGACAAATGTTAATTCAATAATTATATATAAATTTTATAAGCACTGAAGAAAAATACAGGGAGCCAAGAACTGTAGGAGGGGAACTTGAATAAGAATGAAGTTCAGGGAAAGGGGGAATGCTTGAGGTGAAACCAGTTCTAATAGAAGTAACTGGAGTTAAGTAGAAGAGTTTGTCCAAGAACAGCAGAAATTAAGGCTCTGATGTGGGAAGGAGTATGGCACTATTGAGGAGTATGGCACTAGATGAAAACCTGTCTGGAGGTGAGAGGGAGAGAGATGGGCACCAGATCATGGAAGCCTTGATAGACTAGGAGTTTGGATTTTATTCTTAATGCAGGGGGAGGCATTTAAAAGATTTATGCAGGTGAGTGACAGTGATCAGATTTATATTTCAGGAGAGTGTTCTGGTGAAGAGAACACCTTGGTACAGACCATTGTAGTCACTCATGTAAGGAATGATAGTAGTGGAGAGGGGAGAAGGGGGAGATTTGAGATCTATATTGAAGTAGAATTAACAGAACTTGAGGGTGAGGGAGGATTAAGTATGATCCCCAGGTTTGTGGCGTATGTAACTATATAGATGCTGCTTATGCCATTTTCTGCGATAAGGAGTACTGGAAGAAGATCAGGGTTTAGTGGGGGTGGGAGGAGGAGGAGAGAGAGCAAGGTTTTGGACATCTTGAATTTGAGGTATTTTTTATATCTAAATAGAAATGTTGAGTAGGCAGTTGGATAGCAGGATCTGGATCTTAATTATTAGATTAGGCACAAATTTGAAGAACATGAATTTGTAGATGGTGGTCAAGGAAATAGATGTGAAGAAGATTGCCTAGGAAGAATATATACAGTAAGAAGAGAAGTGGGTTTAGATCTTGGCCTTAATAAACTACTAACATTTAAAAGGTAAGGTAGTTGGGGAGGAGGCAAGTGAAAAGTAATGACCAGTGAGGTAAGAGTAAAACTAGAGACTGCCAAAGAAGAGAGAATTCCAACAATGAGGAGGTGTCAACATTGTCAAATATTGTAGAGAGAATTAAAATGAGAATAGAAAAACCAGATGTCCAGTGGAAAGCTTTTGGCACACTCTATAAGTGCCATTTCACTGAAATGATACAAATGAAAATCAGGTTGACTTGACTTTTAATGAGTAGCTAGAGAAATGAAATGGGGTCCTTTTCCCCCCTCCTTTAAGGCGAGAGAGACTTGACTTTTGATTCCTTAAAAGGCAGGAGAAAGAAAGTTTGAAATAGGGATTCTCTAGGGCAGCGGTTCTCAACCTGTGGGTCGCAACCCCTTTAGGGGTCGAATGACCCTTTCACAGGGGTCGCCTAAGACCATCAGAAAACACATATATAATTACATATTGTTTTTGTGATTAATCACTATGCTTTAATTATGTTCAATATGTAACAATGAAATTGAGGGTCACCACAACATGAGGAACTGTATTAAAGGGTCGCGGCATTAGGAAGGTTGAGAACCACTGCTCTAGGAGGAGGAGTGCTTGCTGTAATCTCACAGGGGCTGTAGGGAGCAGGGGAGCTAGAGGATATAGATGTAGCTGTGGAAGGTGGATAGCATGTTTCCTTCTGATGACTTCCATTTTCTCAGTGCAGTAAGGGGCAAGTCATCTACAGAGAGTTGGAGGAAGTATGGGGAGATGTGGGAGGCTAGAGGAGAGTGGAAAATGTCTGAAATAGTTCTAGCACAGAGTAGAAGAATGTGTTGACAAGAGAAATGAAATAAGACTGCCCGACAGTCTTGAGAGCCTAGGTGACATGTCTGTCCAGCAGGTGGGATATTCTCCAGTAGTGCTTCATTCCCTGGTCAGACAGGGAGGAAAGCTATAACAAGGATCATTCAGGGTTTACATTTTGCCAGTTAAGTAAAACAAAAAGTCAGGTGGCAAGGGAGTCTGGAGTATTTGCACAAGATGTATTGAAACTATGAATCAGGGGATTTAAGATGGGTAAGTCGGTAAGTAGATAAGATGGAAACTAGTAGGTAAGAACTGATAGCAGTATCAGTGATTTGGTTGTTCCATAAGGTCAAAGCTGGTTGTAGTGAAAGGGAATTGTGGTCTGAGAATATGATACTTGAATTAGTGATTACTGACTGCAGCTCTCTGATATAGCTATTATTTCATTTAAATGGATTGAAAAACATGCTTGGGTAAATTCATAATTTGCCTTTGATTGCCCAACTAGTAAGCAATGAAGCTCTGATTGGAACCAAAGTTTTATCCAATTCAAAAGAAGAGTGGATGTAGGAGTAGAGTTGAAAGAAATTTGAGCTAAATATTATGGAACCATGAACTATTCCCACAGTTGATTCATCTCTTGAGTTTTTTTATATCTGTTGCTCAGGTAAAACCTCATGGTTATTACTCTTCTTTCCTCTTCTCTTATATCCAGTCTATCATTCCGGTATCTACCTTTCCCTTTCCGTTCTCACTGCTGCTACCTCACTTTAGTTCTTCTTTCTTATACCTGGGCAACTAAAATATGATCATCCTTTCTCTCCACTTCTGATCTAACATTTACTTATCTGTCTTCTGATCTTGTATCTTTGTGATTTCGGGCTGCTATAAGAAATTGCCATACACTGGGTGGCTTAAGCACAGATATTTATTTCTCATAGTTCTGGAAGCTGAGAAGATCATGCTGCAGCAAATCTGGTATCTGGTGGGGGCCTGCTTCCTGGTTTATAGACAGCCATCATCTCATAGTTTCCTCACATGATGTTTGGCCATATGTGCTTGCGTACGCGTGTGTGTTTTCCCTTTTGTATATTGTTCTTTTTATCTCATTCCCTTTGCATTGTTACCCTGTCTGATCTTTCTCCCATACCCATTTTTCTTTCAGTGAAGTCTGCCAATCCTTAGTGAGACATAGCTCTGGAATAAAAGGAAGCCTGCCACTACAAAAAGTGCATCTGATTTCACGAAGTATTTACCATTCACATCATCCTACTTCAAAGCTTCAAAGAACCCAATTCAGGACATCATTTCATCAGTTTTCCTCTCTATCTAACCATCCTTTACGTAAATTGAAACTTTCTCCGATTAAATATGGCTACCAGCCCCGCAGGAATTTTTGGCCAGCAAGATTAGCTGCGAGACTCTTAAAACTTCGATATCTCGTACTGGGATCTGCTGTTGGGGGTGGTTATACAGCCAAAAAGGTGAGTTTAACTTTCCTAGTGCTTTTCCAATTACTCAGCATGATTATTTTAAGGTTTTATAGCATAAGTAATTTTTCTTTAGACCAAGAAAATATAATTGGATGTTTAAATATTTATTGTGTCTCTACTATATGCCAGATTTTTATTGCTTGATTAATCTTAGAGATGGAGGAAGAGAGAGAGAGAGAGAGAGAGAGAGAGAGAGGTGAGAAAGATACAACGGTTGACTATTGACTGCCTCCTGCACAAGCCCTGACCAGGATCAAACTGCAACCCAGGTATGTGCCTGACTCAGAATCAATCCCATGACCTTCCGGTGCACAGGAGGATGCTCCAACCTTCACACCGCCAGGATCAATCCCATGACCTTCTAGGCATTTTCCTATTGCCACCCAGTGTGTAGCAATAGGAAAATGCCTCCCAAATTTTAGTTACAAGTATTGGAGGTAAAAATGGCCCAGTGGAGCTCTGGCTGGTGTGGTTCAGTTGGTTGGAACATAGTGCACCGAAGGAAGCGTTGCGGGTTCGATTGTCAGTCAGGGTACATATCTAGGTTGTTGGTTGGATCCCAGTTCAGGGTGTGTATGGGAAGCAGCCGATGGATGTTTCTCTCTTATATCAATGTTTCTCTCTCTCTCTCTCTCAAATCAATTTTTAAAAAACCACATATTCTTGGGTGAGGATTTAAAAAAAAAAAAAGCTTAGTAGAAGAAACACTGTGCTGGGAGTGAGAACACTTTGGTTTGATTTTCAGCTTTGCCATTTAGTGGCACAGATAGGAAACTTAGTGGTATATTCATGCAGCCACTTCTTGGCTGGTACCAGAGACAAAATGTCCTGACCCCTGGTCTGTCTTCCTTCTATTCCACAGTGTTGTTTAAAGCCACATCATAAAACCTGTTTGAATGAGAATATATTTTGGATTTTTACATTTTTCTTTAGTGCAGAAAGAAAAGGAACATTTACATTGTTATATGCTTGCCTGCTAATTTGTTTTTAGAAGAGTTGAGGCCACTTCGTTGCTAGAACTTTTGAACATAATGTATCACTCTTAGTAGATTAGCATGTTTTCATTAAAATAGTTTTTCTATGCTTGCCTGCTAATTTGTTTTTAGAAGAGTTGAGGCCACTTCGTTGCTAGAACTTTTGAACATAATGTATCACTCTTAGTAGATTAGCATGTTTTCATTAAAATAGTTTTTCTTACATTTTTATACAGCATGCAGAGCATTTGATTGGTATTCTTTCTTGTCTTTTAGACTTTTGATCAGTGGAAAGATATGATACCAGACCTTAGTGACTATAAATGGATTGTGCCTGACATTGTTTGGGAAATTGATGATTATATCGATATAGGTTTGTATTGTCAAATTTTTTTTGTCATATCTATAGGACAAAGAACTACTAGTGTTGAGATAGTTTCCTAATTCTTGAGTTGAATGTGTAGTAATTTTATTTTAATGATAAAAATAATAGAATAACAAAGAAAAATTTATGAGGAAAAGAAAAGTATCCTCTATCAGCGGTTCTCAACCTGTGGGTCTCGAACAATGAAAATACATCCTGCATATCAGATATTTACATTACGACTCATAACAGTAGCAAAATTACAGTTATGAAGTCGCAACAAAAATAATAATTTTATGGTTGGGGGTCACCACAACATGAGGAACTGTAGTAAAGGGTCGCGGCATTAGGAAGGTTGAGAACCACTGCGTCTAGTTCATCACTTTAACAAAGCTGTCATTGTCTTTATGGAGCATTCTCTTTTAATTGTACCAGTTCTGTGAATATGGTTAATATTTTCGCTTTCTTCTTAAAAATTATAATCATAGTGAACATACACTTTGCTATCTTATCTTTTGCTACCTAGCACATTTTGTTAGCATTTTCCATACTGCCAATCAGCCTTCTCAAACATCATTTTTAATTTGTATGTTACCCAGAACTGATGCACCATAACCCACTTAACTAGCTCTTTTTGATTGGTTACCTTGGTTACCTTTATTTTTGGTAATGAGGTTCTTTGAAAGTCTGCCAGTGTCCAGAGTAATTTCTCCCTATTGTCAGCCACTGTCCCCCTTCTAACAATAGGTAGGTGAACAAAAGTATATTTGATAGTTGTGATTTTTTGGATTAAATTCTTTTCCTCAGTCTCTTTTTTGAAACTGTTTAATTTCTTAGATTAGGTATACATGGGAGTGGAATTAATGTCTAACTACACTTATTCACACCACTTCCTCAAAGATAAAATTGTGCTGTGTTGACAAAGGTATTTGCAAAAAAGTACTCTTTCAAGTTATTTTTCTAATATTCATGAGGATTAGTTTTTAACTCGATACATTTGCCAGTACCATGGTGTAGTGTCTGAGAGCCTGGATTCTGAACCTAAACTCCTAGACTTAAACCCTGCCTCCCTCACTTCTTTGCTGTGTGCTTGGGTCTAGTTACATAAACTTTGTACCCCAGTTTCTCACATGTAAAATGGGGTTGCTGATAGCTATTTTGTGAAGTTGCTTTGAAGAGTAAGCAAGTTAATGCTTTTACAGTACTTAGAATACTAGCTGGCATATATTCTTATTTTGAGTATATCTATGTGTTTTGGTCTTCTCCAGAGAAAATGAGAAAAGCCCTTCCTAATTCAGAAGTCTCTGTAAAGTTGTACCAAATTTGGACAAAATTGTTGAATGTTTTTAAACAAAAATAAACGCTTTGACCATTTCATAAATAAAGCCAACTCAAATAAAATAAAAGCTTCCCTTGGGCTCTTAATTATTTCCAGTTGGTAACAGGGACTATGAAAAGAGGGAGAGAAGTAATGGAAATTCTGTTCTTGAGCTTGAGCTGGAATGTGATCACGTTTTTTAGTTAGGCCAGGTACTGTAAGAGATGTCTTTCTCTTTTTTCTTTGATTCTTTGCCACTTTGCTTAGACTTCCTCCCAAAAAGTACTTCTGATTCCAATCTATTGTTAACATTGTTTATACAGTGTTTCTGTCTCAAGGCATTTAACTTGTAAATTGAAGGTCTCCATCTAAGCCATTTGTTTGGTGAGTCTTTTATTTTAAATTTTATGGCTTGTGGAATATCATTAGAATAACGTATTGTTTCAGATATATGTAGCAGCCATAGGTGTAATAGGGAGAAAATGGGAGTTTAAATTTATATGTGATGATATTTAAATTTTATTAATGTTTTAATAGTTAAATTATTACTTTGAGACTATGAATGAGGTTATTTGTGTGTGTGTGTCTCCTCCAGAGAAAATTATAAAATCCCTTCCTAATTCAGAGGACCTTGCAAAGTTGGCTCCTGACTTTGACAAGATTGTTGAAAGCCTCAGCCTATTGAAGGACTTTTTCACCACAGGTAAGGAAAGACCTATGTTCGATCTCATTTAAAATGTTAGGAACCACAGAGGAAAGGTGTATTCACTTGTTTATTTCTATCTTTTAAATGAAAACATTTAGTACAAATGAAACAGTTTTTTGAAAACACAAAGTTTTGTTGTGCAGTGATTTTAATTTTTGTTTAGCCCAACAGAATGAAAGTTTGCAACAACTTAAACAAGCTAGGCCTTAGACAGTGAGGGAAAAAATATCACTTGTTCTTGACAAGTAGATGAGACTTCCTATGTGCTTGCTTTTCATAATGGGTTAGAGTCAATTTGATTATTTTAAAACATTTTATTATGATGGACCATAATGAGTAGAATTTACTAAGGTTAATCCTGGTGTATTTGCTCAATTACTACCCTATCTTGATATACACCTGAGATCTCAGACATCTTTGCTTATTCCTGTTAAAGTTTTACATTTCTATTTCCCTTTTTGCTGATTTTTCACAGGTCACAAATTGGTTAGTGAAATCATAGGAGCTTCTGACCTACTTCTCTTGTTAGGTGTGTAAACAGACATTTTTGCTGATCTTAACATGCCTTCTAAATGCTTCTAATAAACTACATGCAAATAAAATTTCAGACCAAATTTATAATGCTGCTTATGCTGAATTTCAAAACCCCAGAACTGTATTAGACAAATTCATTCTCCTTCAGGTCAAAATAATAAAATAATTATTTTGTAGTAAAACTAAAATTCCTAAATATATATTTGTATTTTAAGATAAAAGCTATTAAGAAGAGAGTTTGCTGTACCAGAATATTTTCTTAAAATTGATCTGATTGTTTTTGATAATTAAAATGAAAAGTAATTTTAGTTTGTCTCATCTGTCCTGTCATAGGTGACATTTTAAATTTATTTTTTTATTGTATGTAATCTTTACATAATGGCATTGGTATATGGCTGAACTGTAAGTACACTCATGTACAGTACTTCTTATCAAAGACTGTCTTATTATTGTAATTTTCAGTGATATTTTTAAAAATAGGTTAAACACATGCTACAATTAAAAAAATATTTTTTTTTCTTGAATGGGTTACTAGTATTTTCCTTAAAATAAAAACAACTTTCCAAAAAAGGGATACTCTAAAATCCATTTACCATTTAAAAAATATATTTTTTTGTTATTGACTGTGACAGCATGGATGTACCTGGAGAGTATTATGCTAAGCAAAATAAACCAGTTAGAGAAAGATAAATCACATGATCTCACTTATATGTGGAATCTAATGAACAAAATAAACTGACAAACAAAATGTGTCCAGAAACATGAATGCATAGAACAGAATGACAGATCTCAGAGGAGATGGGAAGAGATTAACCAAAGAACATATATTCATATAGGCAAAGCCCCTGGGCACAGACAATAGTGTGGGGAAGGCCCGGGGTGGGGCAGGGGCTGTGTGGAGGGGGGCAAAGGAGAGGAAGATGGGGACTTCTTAATTAAACATAATTTGGAATTTAGATTATTGACATCATTGGAGAATTTAAAGGACTGTGTATTTATCTTGAAGGTTCATCTGGAGAAACCACATTTAGAGCAACAGATCATGGACCTGAAAGTGACAAGCATTATAGAAAGGTAAGTATAAGAGAGAATTCTTCATGTAGGTAGTCTTGTAAGATTTTTAAAAAGGTTTTAACTTACCTGCAAGACTTGAAAATGGTAACATTTGAGGAGCAAATATAAAACACCATACTAGAGTATTAGTACTAGCCTTGGTACAAAGTGCAAGGTACATACAGCAGTTTTAGAAAAGTAATCGGAGAAGCCTATTTCTTTCAAATACGTTCTGTGAAATATTAGCTTCAACCTAACAAAAGGCTTTGTTGTTATACATTAGTGGGAGAAGCTGATATAAATAAAAAAGAAACAAGCAGGTTTTTTTTCTTTTTCCTTGATTTCTCTGATCTTAATGGACTCCTGTCCTTTGTGCAGCTCCAGATGTCTGAGTGTGCAGGGTTTCCCAGATTTATTTAGCAGCAAACCCTTTTCCACAAAATATCTTCTAGGGAACAATGTGTGCTTCTTTTTTTTGTTGTTAATCCTCACCTGAGGATATTTTTCCATTGATTTTTAGAGAGAGTGAAAAGGAGGGGGAGAAACAGAAAGAGAAACATTGATGTGAGAGAGACACATCGATTGGTTGCCTCTCGCACAACCTGGGCCAGGGTTCGATTCTGCAACCCAGGTACGTACCCTTGACCAGAAACAAACCTGTGACCCTTCAGTACACAGGCTGATGCTCTATTCACTGAGCCAAACAGCTAGGGCTAGGGACCAGTGTTTTATGTCATACACTTAGGGGAAATAATAAGGTAGTAGGAAGCAGGTTTTAGTAGGGAATAAATTCTGTTATATTGATAGTCAGCAAAATTATGTATGTATGGGGCTATTTAGGGTTTGTCGATTTCAAAACATATTAACAAAATACATATGAAAGTTTTAGAAAATTGCTTATGTAGAATAACGTTTCTTTGTATTTATATGCATATGTTAACCTTACATTTTCTTAGTCTTTTTTTATATTTTGGAGTTGGTAAGATAACTGATTCCTTGGCTATTAAAAAAATGTATGTTTAGGTAGATACATATCTGGAAAAAATACTCTGTGAACATTTTAAAATTAAATATGGACTATGTAGCTTTTATACTGAAGGTTATGGTTTTAATACATTGAAAAATAAATTATTTTATGTTTATTTGAGAAGCAGGAAGAAAATTTCTACGTTTCTATCACTCTCCCTTTCCTTTAACGTTGAACTTTTTACATACTATTCCAAGTTTTAATTATATTTCAAAATGGTTTTTTTTGCCTTATAACTTGATCTTTTGGAGAAAATATTTGAAATACCTGAGTGTGTGTGTGCACCCATTCGTGCGCATTTGCCTTTTAACTTGGTGTTTTTGATACCTTTTTCATTGGCTTTATTATAATCAAGGGATACCCTTAACTATTCATGCTACTGGGGAGAAAAAAATTGAATTGAAATTAGCCAATTATGCGCAGCTTATTTTGAGCCAAGGCCTTGGCCCTTAATACAGGTAGACCTACTAGAGAGGAGCTAATTTAATTGGGGAGAAGGAACCTCTGATATGGTAGTGTGTTTTTGAGTGACAAGATTTCTTGTTGCCTAGGACTCAGTAGTTGGCAAACTCATTAGTCAACAGAGCCAAATATCAACAGTACAACGATTGAAATTTCTTTTGAGAGCCAAATTTTTTAAACTTAAACTTAAAATATACATTGTTATTAACTTAATTAGGGTACTCCTAAGGCTTAGGAAGAGCCACACTCAAGGGGCCAAAGAGCTGCATGTGGCTCGCGAGCCGCAGTTTGCCGACCACGGGCCTCGGTTAGTTAGTGGATATCTGTATCTCTGCTTTTCTCTGATATAGCCTAGGATTGCTTTGGTGAATGAGAAACCTGCTTTAGGGCCTAACTCAGATAATTCCCTTAAAATCCTACTACAGTGATAAATGAATAATCAATAAAAGATCAGGAACTCTACAACATAGAAGAAGCAAGAATATGGATCTCTTAATTTATGGTGATTATCTTGCCCACTGAAAAACCCACCAGTTATTTTCAGTTGTTGTAAATACTAAATCTGGAGTTGGAATTAAACTGCTTTGCTAAATAAAATGATAGCAAATGCTATTATAAAAATTACAGAAAATGCAGTTTTAGCCTCTAATAGTGGTTTTAATTCTATTAATATGCAGCATTATGGTTTTAAGGCTTGACGGTTACCTGTGATACTTGAGAATAATCAACTGTTCAGACAAGGTGTAGAAAAACTGATTTTAAGAGACCTGGCTACAAATCGATGATTTAAGGTAATGAAGGAGAGACCTTAGCTTAGACCTTTTTAGAAATGGCTCTAAAACATCAAGTTTGAAAATTTGGGCAATGATTCCTTATGTAAAAGGTGGTAGGATAGATACAGAGTTTAGCTGATACCTGTTTTAATTGGTTTGGTCTGGTGTCAGAGAGCTCCAGGTTTAAAATGGTATTCAGGGTTTGGCCATAGTTTAATGGTTGTCTTGTCTATACCTAAGTTTCTGGCTAGACTTCTACTAGAAATGTAGAAGAAAATGTGCATCAGATTTTTTAAAATAGTAGTAATAAATTGAAAACATTTCTATAGCTTAAACTAAAAAAAAAGATTTGTGCTTTCTAATAGGAGAAACATCTGGAGAAATGCTGGCAAGTAGAGGAACAGCTAGGACCTTTCAAAGTCAACTGACAAGAAAGTGACGGGGAGTTGAGGGAACACAGATGTCAGATTGTTTGACTTGAGTCAGACAGAATGAACAACATGTAGTGATTACCTGTAGTTCCCAGTCTGGGGTCACTAGACTTTAGGTGTTCTGGAAAGTTGTAATGGAGGTCTTCAAAAAGTCGACAGAAAGCATATCTTTGCACATAACAATGTATGGGCTAACTAGACATCAGGTTTCTTTGATTTTGCCTGGGTTTATTTCCATTCAGTTTGTGGACAGTAGTTATTTATGTTATGTTGATGAAAAGTGCTGATATGTATCTTTGATAAATAAAAAAATGGAAAATACTGAAACCACTTTTCAATAAACGCTTTTTATTAATCAAAAATTTTAAAACTTGTGTCCTCTTTAAAATATTAGAAAGAGCCCTTGGAGTGAGCTGAATAATATTTTTGAGGCATGGAGACCTTTAGAACTACCTGAAAACAAAATAGAAATTAGAGTGGTGAGCCTGTTTGAGTGAGTTAATTTATCAGTAGATTTCTGTATATTGCTCATAATACATAATGGGTGACAAGACTACTTAGTCTTAGTGTGTCTACTTTTTAGATTCAGTAAGATTGTTGTGTTCTAGTGAAAATTTGCTAAATGAGACATTATCTGTTGTTTTGTTCTATCATTTCTGATTGGTCATAAAAATATTGTAGAAATAAGGAATATGGTCATTCTGAAGATTATAAACACAATTATAATTTATAGAAAATATTTAGAGGACCTTTTAAAAGTCTAAATCATGAAAAGTGGTATTACTGTTTTAAGTATAATTATTAAACAGTAATACATTACTGCTTTTCCTTTCCATATGTTACTTTATTTCTTATTTCTGTGGCTTATGTTGTACCTCCGAGCTGAAATAGCTCTTTCCTTTCCTTTGGCTAATTACTCATCATTAAAGCCAAGTTCAGTTATTACATTCATTAAGGCCTCTATAATCATTTTAGTTCCATTAATTATACTCTTAACATTTAGACCACTTGTCATATGTAACACTATCTATTTTGGTTTGCATTCTTACTATTTATGGAATATTTCTACCACAGAATCTCACCTAGGATAGTGCTGAGCTCTTAGCAAAATCAGTTGATTGATTTAAACTCAGTAGAAGAGAGGCTAATTTACAGTAATAAATTTGATGCCAACAAGAATGGGACTAAAGATTTTATGTAATATGTCTTCTTGCTGATTACCTGTGAATTTCTCTTGGCCTTCAATATGTGGCAGTTATTGAGGAATACAGGAATGTTAGGTAGTACATATAATATTGAATTATAACAAAGCAGTGTTGCTTAAGTACTACTTACATTTCTGGGATTCCTTATGTAACAAATGTGCTAATAAAATGAAATTCTCACCACCAGCACCATCAAGAAACTACAAAGTTAGGAATCTTGCAACTTATGTTTGGTTAAATGGTAATGATGATGATGACTATAATCATTGTTCTCTTATCTTTTAGTACATAAGTAAATAGCATATTTACATTATTTGATTAATTTTCCCCCCGTTTCTTAATCTCTGTGGAGTCTGTTCTGAGGATTGGGGAAAATGGGTTGTAGGGTTGATGTGTAGTTTATTTACAGAATAGGCATTTTTTAGTGAACCAATTGGGATTTTATGCTGGAAACTTTGCAGTATTAGGTAAAAGTAGGTTGTAATTTGATTCATTTAAACAGCAGATGTGTCAAGTCCTACTCTAGGTGCTAGCTTGAACACATGCAACATGGCAGACATTATTCTAGATGCTATGTATAAAAACAAATAGGGTAGGGGCCCTGTTTGGCAATACATTTTTAAATAAAAATATGGCATTTTAAATGTACTCACATATGAATGACTTATAATTTCAAGATTATTTAAAACTTTCTACCAAACTCATCTACTTTTAGGTTTTTGCAGCATTTTCAGTTGATATTTTGGTTTCTGGAATTATCACTGATTTTCTTGATTTGACATAATTTTTTAAAAAACAGAACACTGTACATGAAATATGAGACTGTGAGAACTATAGTGTCAAATTGACATAGTTAGGTGTTTAGAGAGTATATCACCTGTAGTTTACACTAATTTTATTAATATGTATAACTATATTTTATATGTAATATGTATCAGTTAAAAATATGTACTATTTCTTGAGAGAAAAATGTCTGAGCTAGGGAAAATATTTATTGAAAAAATGTGTTTTGTCCATTGAAGAAGTGTGTCTTGCACAGTGGATGTACACATTTCTTGCCCTTCCTATTCCACATGGCCTTAACTTAGAAGCTGTATACTCTATCACTTGGTATTTAGGGTGAGATTTAGTGCCTAAAATTGGATAAGGGTAACATCCTTTAGTCCTCTAGCATAGTGTAAATAGCTTTTTCTGTGTCTAATTCTTGTTTTTTCCTACTTTTTTCAGGAGGTAACAGTTAATTTCAACTATATTCACATAACAGTGCTTCCTTCAGTAACAGACTTGGAAGGAAAGTGAAGTGTCACTAGAAGGAGGGTGTTTCCTTGTAATGTAATAGAAATTAGAGTATTTACCATACAATTTATATATAAATATAAACAATAAAATAAGGAGGGGTGTTTAAGCTATAAATAAAAAAGAATTGTGTGCCTGATAGACCAGCAGTTAAGAAATGTGGAATATTTTATCACTGCTTTGGCATTGTATAAATTAGAATACTGATTGGTATGTTAGTTAAAGCACAGGTACACTACTGTATAAGCCAACATGGGAATTCCCTTTAAAAGGAAATTGTTTTGAGAAATCTAAAGACTTGCATGATTAGAAGAAGTAACTATAATAAATGACAAAATGAATAAAAGTAAGTTGGATTTGGAATAAAATAAGTTGGATCTTTCTGCTTGATGAAAAGCAATGACACAAAACATTGAAAACATGCCTAAAAAAAATTATGGGAATGATGAGGGTAGTGAATTGGCTTTGTCTTTCTTTGCCAGACTTATCAATGACCATAAAATAATTTATTTAAAAGATATATCTTTATAGATAACGTTTTTATAAATATATTTTATATTAAATTTGGAAACAAATGTTGACATTTCAATTATGTTACCACTTTTATTTTTTTCTTCTCATACAGAAATATCAACTAGTTTCATCCTTTGATTTATTGTATAAGTCAGCCAGTGCCATTATTATTGGCAATGATTATAGCTTTATGTATTAAAACTAAGAATTAAACAAAATAAATATCCCCCAAATTATATTCTAATAGTTTCCCTTAATTTAATATGCCTTTTTTGTTTGTATTTGCTTCTTTTTTTTTCCTAACTTTATTTTTTGTCTTTTTATTGAGGTATAATTAACATATAAAATTGTATTAGTTTCAGGTGTACAACACAAAGATTCTATATTAATAGAATATATTGTAAAATGACCACCACAATAAATCTAGTTTTAACAGCCATCATCATACATAGTTACAAAGATTTTCTTTTTCTTATGATGGAAACTTTTAAGAGCTCTCTTAGCAACTTAATTTTTTATGATTGCTTTATTACTATAACTATTATTTTTTAATTTTTAATATTTTTATTGATTTCAGGGAAGAAGGGAGAGGGAGAGAGTGATAGAAACATCAATGATGAGAAAAAATCTTTAATCTGCTGCCTCCTGCATGGCCCCCACTGGGGATCGAGGCAACCAGGGCATGTGCCCCCAACCTGGATTTAAATCATGACCTCCAGGTTCACAGGTCAACACTCAACAACTGAGCCATACTGGCTGGATTATTTTTTATTTTTTAAAATTTATCTTTATTGTTGAAAGTACTATAGTTGTCCTCTTTTTTTCCCCATTGGCCCCTTCTGGCCTGCAACCATCCCCTACCCATTTCTTCTCTGAAAAACTTTTTTTATTTTTAGAAGTCTTTGGATTATATGAGTAAACTGAATTATAAAGCCTCTGGATGAGTCTGCTAATTAAAATTTGAATGTATTTCATTTTAAGAGACTTTCTAATTGCATTAGATAAAATCAAATAATTTTGATAGTTATTTTAAAAAGCTCTGAAGCTATATGAAACTCCTAATTTAGATTATTTTAACAAGTATTAGTTTCCCTAACTCCTTTTATTTTTATAATCTGGTAAATAACGAGCCAGAGCACTATTCGTATGCAAATCCCTGATCTCATTCATTGGAATTTAGTCTTTTTAGGGTTTATAATTGAGAAAATATTAGGCTTGTAACATTGTCAACTCTTAGTTTGTCTTTTCTCCCACATTTGTCAAGATCAATTATCTAATAGGACAGAAATTAAAAATGGTGTACAGAAAATGACATGTATTTTTAGTATCATGCCACATATGAATACATTGTGGTAAAAAAACTGTACCAGATTAACATTTCAGGATTATTAAATGGAATGAATTTTAAACATAGAAATGGTGATTATTTTGTACATAGGGCCAAACTGAGTTTGTTTTATTTAAATTTTTATAATTATTATATTATGTCCATATGTCAATTGTGTTCTTTTATAGTGCTTTTGCTTTAGTAATTGATATGTACTCTATATTCTCAGAGGGTATTTTTATTTAATGTCAAAACAGCTCATAAAAAGTGAAAATTTAGTCAAATTACTTATTTGATGATGTGTAAAGTTAAAACATTTTTTAATTTGCAAAAAGAAAAAAGTGCTAAATTTTAGTCAAGTAAGTTTGTGTGTAGGCATGCAGAATATGTGAATTAATGTAAAATCTTGATTAACTTGATGCTCAGAAATTCAAATTAATATTTTTGAGGGGCTATAATGTTTAATTGAAGACATCAGATACAGTAGCAAGAAAAAACATTTACTTAAATAATAATTTAATAAGTAAATAAACAGTTATGTATCCTCTATTCAGTCCTATGAGAATTGTGGTTGAGAATTAAGAGATTTAGGCCTATAAGGTCAACACTTGTTTAAGAACTGTTTCATTTTTCCTCTCATATAGATCAAGTCTAAAGTATACACTAGTTCATATTGGCAATTCAAAAATAAAGTTGGGGTATTTGTTTTCTTGAGTTTTCTATTACTAAGAAATTTACTTAATTACAATACCACCTTCCTTGAGCATTCCGGTTAATCTGGGTTTTACTGTAGATTGATCTTATATATCTGGTTCATTTTATTCAGCAGTCACTTACTGCATTTTCCTTTTCACTTTTTAAACTATGCTGTTTTATATTTCTGAGACATCTAATTTTACTGAGGGGAAAAAAATGGAAATGTGGTACAGAGCCCAATTATATAGTGGCTCTAAAGGTACATAAATGTTTCCATTTTTTTTTGTTATATGCTTTCCATTCCTCCCTAACTTAACATTTGTTCCTTTCTTGTGCCCTTTGGTTTAACATTGTTCTCCTCCCCAATTTTCCTCTTTTCCTCATTGTAAACTCATGGCAGGGTCTGCTTGGTGAGCTCATTCTCTTACAACAGCAAATTCAAGAACATGAAGAGGAAGCACGCAGAGCTGCTGGCCAATATAGCACGAGCTATGCCCAACAGAAGCGCAAGGTGATGGATGGTTTAAGGGGGCTACTGATGTGTTCACATTAATCAGCCATTTCTACCTAGATCATGTCGCCTTAATCCATTTATGGACTCCAATTATGAGAAATTATTTTTGACAAAGTAAAACTATGAAAGATACATAATACAAATATGTAACTTTCCTGGAGAGGGTAAACATACCCAACATATATATTTTCTAAAAATTAGATTAACTGTGAGGGTCCATGGAAGAATAATAAATTATGGTTTACTTGGTTCAGTTATTTAGTCATCCTAAGTTCTTAGCCAACTTGTCTACTTAATTGTTCTCCAAGTTTTATTTCTAAAATGAAAAGGATTACAGTGGGGCCTTAACTTACGAGTTTAATTCGTTTCATGATGGAGCTCGTAACTGAAATTACTCGTATGACAAATCAAAAAGTGAACAAGTGAGACACGTGATGCTGGGCTGATGTTGTGGCGTTCACTGTGACGTTCGCTGCTCCAACTAGCGGTGGGGTATCTGAAGCTGGCTCGTAACCCGAATTTTAGCTCACAACTCAAAGCAAAAAATCGGCCGAGAGCCGGCTTGTATCTCGAAAAACTCATTAGCCGGGACACTCGTAAATCAAGGCCCCACTGTACTACTATGAATGACCATGTTAAATTATTTAAAGAATGAAATGTATTTGTTTTAGGTGAAATGGATCAGCAGAGAATGGCTTTATTTTTTATAGAAGAAAACAATTTTGATTTAATTTTTGGGCATAGTTATTCTTTTTTTGGGGTGGGGGTTAATCCTCACCAAAGGTTATTATTTTTTCCATTGATTCTTAGAATGGAAGTGTGGGAGGGAGTGGGAGAGAGGAAGAGAGAGAGAAACAGCAGTGTGAGAGAGACATGTCAGTTGGTTGCCTCCTGCATGCACCCAACTGGGGCCCTAGCCCCTTTGGTGGGAGGGCCAATGCTCTAACCCCTGAGCAACACCAGCCAGGGCAGCGTAGTTATTCTTATTCAGGTTGATAAACTCATTGCATAAAGTTTATCCACATTCATCAATAAAGTCAGCACAAGTAAGTTTTAACTTGGACCACTGAAAGAACATTAGAAATCAGATCTAATTCTGTTTGCTAAAGAGCAGATTCTAATAAAAGTCAGTGTAAGTCTGTACAAATATTTAGTTATAGATACAATCAAGAAGTCCTTAAAAATATGCTTTTGGCTGTTAGATGATCCCACAGTGTAGATCCCAAGCTTAATGTTCTAAAAAAACTTTCAAGATGAAATGAATGCAATGATTTAAAGTTATATTCTGATGAAATCAGCTAGTTGTCAGATATCAGAAAAGTTTTAAACTTATGTACAAATCTTAGGAAGAAAGATTCAGTCATGCATATAATGAGCTTCCTGCAGATTCTAGTATTGGAATCAACCAATATTATAACGATTTAGTGCAATACTCCTGCTAACTAACCTTGTCTCATTTTGGTGGTTAACACTTAAGAGCACTTATCACAGTTTCCTTTATTTTTTCAGTGTCACTTCCTGGCTTTTCTCAATTCCATGGCTGTGGAATCACCTATTGTATGTGTTTAGCTTTTAGTGAATGGATAACCTAGGTAGATAATAGGAAGTAAATTATTTTTCTATTATGTTAAATTAAAGCATGTATGTTACCAAAGAAACATTTATGCTATTTTTTAAATAATACCTGTAATTCTTACAACAACACAGATAAATTATTTTTTTAAAAAGAAAGACTTATTTTAAATGGTGCTTTAGCATTCTCTGTTCTGTATGCTGTTGAGAGTGCCATTTAAATATTCTAACAAATTGGGTGCTAAGGCTAAGCCTTGGCTTTGTTACAGAAGGAAGGGGAAGGAGTTACTCCGTTCTGGTACGTTGTTTAGAAATATGAATATCGTTCTAGTTAAAAGTTATTCTTAAATGTTCATAATGGTAAAATAACTTGAAATGAGTCCTGTAGATCTCCCATTTTCAGATTTTAAGATATGGTTTAAGGTTTTTGTTTTTTTAAATCTGATGATTTAAGGGCTATTAGTAGTGAATACTGATTATTTTCTACATTGCCAAAGGTTAATGCTCATTTGAGGCCTACTTGCCATTTTTCAGTCGTTGTGATATTCCATTTCAAATATTTATTGGGTTATCCAGTAACTTCTATGCCTCACTTTCCTTGTTTGTGGAATAGTGACTGATAGGACTGTACCTTCATCTATTTTATTACATTGCACAGTGGATCGCCAAATCGTGGCTGTCCCTGCCCACTGTGAAGTTACCTTGGGTAAAAGTAAATGGGACTCTAAAACCATTTACACTCTTCTGTAGTAAGAGCGCTCTTCATCATTCCCCCTACTTTCCTAAAAAATAGTTTCCTTACTGTATCTTCCCTACTTTTCCCTTATAGTTAGTACACAGATGACTTTTCAGCCATTCACCATAATCATCAAAATCCTAATTCATAAGATTTCTGTCAATCCAGGCATTTGATGTTTACTTGAGGTACAAAACCACAGCTTTTTGTTGCTTTTTAATAATTCTTTCATCCTTACCTTCTTGAAAATATAAGTAAGGCTTCATTTTCTATATCATGCTAGTAGTAGCAGCTATAAAATTCCCCTTGTATCTCCTGAGCAAAGGAGCTCCTGCAGGGAAGGTACATTAAAACTGCCTTTGGTAGTTTTGCCTCCTATGAATATGTACACATACAAAGACGTTTTTGAGGCTTTCATATATGTGTTTTGGTATTTCAGAATGGCCACAATGGCTTAGTAGGGAAAAATACTTAATTTAAAATCAGGCTTGGTTTTGTGAGGAGCTAGTAAAGGTTTTTGTCTTTCAGCTTTAGCTTGTTTCTGCGGAGGATTCCGCTCTTTCCATCAGTTTCACAGCCCTGGAATTGTAGAAAAGCCCTGGTTTCAAGACCATTGATACCCATTTCTGTCAGGGTGAGTCGTAAATTAACTTCATAATGCAAACTGAATATATTCAACGGGACAAGAACTTATTCTTGTCATAAGGAGTTGAATTTTATCAGTAAAGTTCATCAAAATAAAATATATCCAAATTGCTAGTTAAGACCTTAAATAAGCTAGTCTCTTAAGAAAATATGTATAAGTATCTTCTCATTAATACTTATTTACCTTGTTTCCTAGAAAACATTAGGTGTAATTCTTTTTTTTTTTTTTTAAATATATTTTATTGACTTTTCACAGAGAGGAAGGGAGAGAGATAGAGAGTTTGAAACATCGATGAGAGAGAAACATCGATCAGCCGCCTCCTGCACATCTCCCACTGGGGATGTGCTGGCAACCCAGGTACATGCCCTTGACCGGAATCGAACCTGGGACCCTTCAGTCTGCAGGCCGACGCTCTATCCACTGAGCCAAACCGGTTTCGGCTAGGTGTAATTCTTGACTCCACCATCACTTGTCTTATAATAAAACATTAATTTTGATATTTCAGTAAGCTAAACAGAGAGAAGGTAAAATGGTGCATGAGTTATTCCTAACAATCATGCCAGAGGGCAAAAGATAAATCTACATACTCCTAAAAATACGAATTTATAAAAATCTTAACAGTCATGATACTAAATACTGTTAGCATAAAGATTGTGTTTGTAATATTCTAATAACCTTATATCATTTTAACTTTTTGTATACCCTTTTTATTTTACCAAATTACTAAGATAACCTTTTAAGCCTCTGGCTTATAATAAACAGTCTAACTTTTTGGTGTAATTGTATTGGTTTCTTAATTATTGCCCCATTGTGTAATGTTGAATTTTCTATTTAATTTAGGATATATTGCATGAAATCATTAAATATTCACATTCAAACTAAAACAGTTTATACTAATACTGTTTATATATTTCATACTAATTTAGCTGCAGTTGGATGAATATTTAATGGAACAAAATAAATCAAAGTACCTTTTAAAATGAATTGGGAATTTATTCTGCATAAAAAAATTTTTATGACCACATTGTTACAGTGTGATGGCATGCCTTATGATCGAAATGTGGAATTATTTATTTCTCCTTTGGCCTTCAATATTTTGTTCTTTGGGTTATGGGCTCCTCTCCAGCTTTCTTGTTTCCTCACATTTTAGGAGACTATTAATAATTCTTGCCCATGCTACACAAACACACAGTCAAATGAAAAGAGTTTCTATCCATGAGTCTCTCCTTGCTATACAGGAATGAGAATACAACAAAAAAGTTTGCTTTATATTACCTTTTTTCTGATTACTAAAACATAGAGATTTTTAGGCATAAGCTTTTAAGGAAAAAATATGTACCTGTTCTAACAAGCATTGACATTTATAAAAAATATTTTTAATTGATTGCAGAGAGGAAAGGAGAGGGAGAGAGAGATAGAAACATCATTGATGAGAGAGAATCATTGATGGGCTGCCTCCTGCATGCCCCTCACTGGGGATCGAGACAACAACCCAGGCATGTGCCCTGACCAGGAATCGAACCGTGACCTCCTTGTTCATAGTTCCATGCTCAACCACTGAGCCATGCCGGTTGGGCGTCATTTTTATTTAAAAGAAGTATTTGGGGAAAACTTTGAGAAAGTATTTGGGTATAGGAATTAAAATCTCAAATTAACTTTATTGCATGGATTAGAATTATTAATGCCTTCTTGAACAAATCATTTAAAATTTGTTCATATACATTTGCTATCATGATGTCTTGATTGCTTAAATACCCAATGAATAACAAGGATTTACATGAATTTTAACCATATTTTTGTATCCTATGAAATAAATTCTTGTTTGCAAATTTTGATGATCAGAAATTAGACAGTTATTTTGAAAGACTGAGAATAACAACTCTGTACCTCACCAAGGAGTCAAAACACAGTTACGTGGATTTGTCATAAATGACATCATTTTGATTAAAATTAATCATTGTGTTTGATATTTAGAATTGTATTGTGACAACTTTAAAGCCTGTTACACAATAAAGTTCTTTGTCGTTTTTGGATATTTTACTTTAGAACTATTAATATTAATAACAATTTGAAGTAGTTTCTGCAATACCTGTGGATCTTGTCCTACTTTTGTTTTATGTCCAAATTAATTTTAGTTGCTTTACTTGACTTCATTGCTACTGATGCATTTGCTATATTATGTGTTAACAGATCTTGCACAAGAACTAAATTTAAAAACAATCATCTGGCTCCACTTATAGCTCTGAAAATGCAAGTTGTTCTTTGCATTTATTAAATACTTCCCTACTTACAGAATGGAAATGGATAATATTTGCTTAAAATATACACTATGATCAATGAACTTTTTCAGTACCTGTATATGATAACATGTATCTGACTTCCCAAAACACTTTTCTGTAGGGCTGTCAATGCTTTATTTCTCCATGTATCCAAGTGCCTGTGCTTGAGCACAAAACAAGCTGTGAAGAACATAGTAACCATATATGTCTAATTTTTCTAACAAGCCATTCATAAGAAATGACTAGAATGGCAACAGGAGATGATTGCTTTTTAAGGTTTTTATTTAATATGAAATTTAATGAGTTCTTATTGATGAATATAATTGTTTTTTACTTTCTTAAATACCATTTGATTTAAAATGGCTTTGATTATGCATATAAAATCAGTTTTTACTCTTAAAATACTTAAAAAAACGTTTAGCTTATAGTGCATCCTATATAAACCTAATTCTATTCAAAATTAATTTCTTTTAAACATTTAGGTGACAGACAAAGAGAAAATTGACCAACTTCAAGAAGAACTTCTACATACCCAGGTAATTCTGATGTGTAAGAAGAGCCAAGGACTTTTTCTTATCCTATATAATAAAAGGCTGGCCACTGGTCACTGTCTGCAGAGCGATCAGTGGGGTAATTGGGCCTCTGCTCACACCCGCCTTGGCCTGGCACCGCCCACTCACCTCCATCATCCCACCGCGGTCCCGATGCTCTCATCGGGGCCCATTGGGGCCGGCAGTGCCTCCAATGCCGCCTTCTGCCAGCAGCAGGTCACTGACACCTGCCATGTTCCATGCCGCCCCCTGGTGGTCAGAGCATGTCATAGTGAGCCGTCTAACTCCCGGTCGAGGGGACAATTTGCATATTAGGATTTTATTATATAGGATACTATTATAGACTATTACTACATATAAATTAATAATTCTATAAAAAATGTTTATAGTGGAATCTAACCTATGGGATGCCGGCTTCCGGCATGGTTCTACCTGTTTCATACTACATAGTTGAACTAAATATTATGTTTTTCTTTAATTTGGCTTACTGTGGACATTCTCTGAGGAGTGAACCATGAGTTCCTCTTATTTACTATGTTCTTGGAAGATTGACTACAACTTAAAAAATATTCTAAGAGATATTTTCCATTATAAAAGGCATGATGTTATAGATTGAACATAAACATTCTGCTGGTTGTAGGATTGAGTAATTCTTAATAGTTTTCAAACCTTGCCGAAACCGGTTTGGCTCAGTGGATAGAGCGTCGGCCTGCGGACTGAGGGGTCCCGGGTTCGATTCCGGTCAAGGGCATGTACCTGGGTTGCGGGCACATCCCCAGTGGGAGATGTGCAGCAGGCAGCTGATCGATGTTTCTCTCTCATCGATGTTTCTGGCTCTCTATCTCTCTCCCTTCCTCTCTGTAAAAAAATCAATAAAATATATTTTAAAAAAAAATAGTTTTCAAACCTTGTAATGCTTAGAGAAGAAATTATAGTGTAAAAACTGAGAGGACCAGTTAGAAAAGGATCACAATTATTTAAGAAGAGTATGTAGCCAAGCATTTACTTTTGACAAAATAACGTGTCTAAATGCTGTCTTCTTAAAATCTGTTTTTATATCAGTATTTTAAAAATTAATGTGTAATCTCTGACCACAGAAACTTATCAGAAGTTGGAAGAGTTTGAACCCTTGACTCATACCTTTCTATATACTCAAAACTCTGACCTTGGATAGGCTACCAAGTATCCCTAATCTCAGATTCCTAACCTGTTTAGCCTTTGCCTGACGTGAAGGCTTAAGGAAATTAATGCAGGTGCAACATTAACTAAAGGGCTTATCACATAATGCATGCTCAGGCACTGTTAACTATTATTATTTTACTAGAGGCCTGGTGCATGATCGGGGCCGGGGAGGGACACAGGAGGTTGGCCAGCCAGGGAGGGACCGCGGAAGGGCTCCTGGGCATGTTGAGTCCATCGCGCTCAGTCCCAATCGGCCGGACTCCAGCAGCAAGCTAACCTATGGATTGGAGCGTCTGCCCGCTGGTGGTCAGTGCACATCATAGCGTCTGGTTAACTGGTCGACTGTCTGCCTCCTGGTGGTCAGTGCACATCATTGCAACTGGTCGACTGGTCAACTGTCTGCTCCCTGGTTGTCAGTACACGTCATAGTGAGTGGTTGAGCATCCTTAGCATATCATTAGCATATTATGCTTTGATTGGTTGAACAGATGACTGGACACTTAGCATATTAGGCTTTTATTATATAGGATATCATTTCAATTAAAACACAAAATAATGTGGGGAATGGGAAGAATTTGAATTTTTGCCAAATTGTCCCTATAATGAAGACTTAAAAATTTTTGATGTAATAGGAAATATTGCTTCATGGAATGTACTTAAGGACTGGCTTCTTTAAATGCTTACATTTTTAATTAATTTAATTTCTTCATTGTAAATATCAAAGAATTTTTCAAATAAAATGCCAAATTATAATAGAAAACTATAATGAAATTTATTGTTTGAGATTTTCATAATTCTCTCAACATTTTCATAGGAGCTTTTTAAATGAAATAATTTATTTTGAATAGTCAGGAGATATGACTTCAGGATTTTGGAAGCCTTTAATTTAGACTTACTGTTATTAACCCATCTTTTTCTAATGTAGTTATGGTATTATTTTGTTTCAGTTAAAGTACCAGAGAATCTTGGAACGGTTGGAAAAGGAGAACAAAGAACTGAGAAAATTATTGTTGCAGAAAGATGACAAAGGCATCCATCATAGAAAGCTTAAGGTATTTTAATTTTATCTTAATTTGTTGGTTCTCAGGACTTTGCATGTTCATCAATACTAGTGTGTAAGGGACCATAACCATACATGTTCTATCCTCCTTTGTCACCTGCTATCCTTCAGGGATAGGAAGTTCTCTTCCTATATTAGCACATTTTATAAAGTGTAGTTTCCAGACATTGATTTTAAACTATGCCCATAAAAATCTTCATACTTTTACCAGCCATTTCTCATGAATCAGTTTATTTTTCTGAAATACCTAGTATATCTTTAGGCCTATTTCGTTTCTACAGCAATAAAACCAGAATTCTGAGTTGATGGATGTTTATATATGACTTACCATCATTGCCTTACTTATGTTTCCAGCAAATGATTAGGCTACTTTCTTCAGTTTTAAGAAAGTTAACATTTTCTTCTGGAAAGTTCCTTAGGCATTTTAAAGAATTTTTGAAAAAGCATATGCTGGTATTATTATCAGCATATTGGTAATTACCATTATCAATAAAGTAAATCTTATTTCCCACTAAACCAAGTTGTATGTATTAAATTAAATTGGAGTAATTCTTCTAACTTGTATCCCCTATAAATAAACTGAATTTGGGTATAGCAAAACTGCAATAAGTCATGGCACAGACATTAGGTACCATGGTCCAAAGATATGTAATTGTAGTTTAAGCAACATGTATTAGTAGTTCTGCTCTAAATCAGGATTGTATAAAACAAATAAATAGCATGGCTTTATTTACAGGTTACACACAGCAATTGAGAAAAGTTATGTTCAAGTGTTAATATATTTTGAAAGTTTATGTCAGAAAAAGTATATTCTCTCACAGAGTAAAATGTCAATGAAAATTTAAAGAATTTTTGTTTATTTCTTAGTGGAGGGATAGCAGTTGCTTCACATTTATTATTTCTAGCTGTTAAGAGATAAAGGGAACTGTAGGCCCTTATGTTGTTTCTACTGTAGGGTTAAAACTTACCTTTAATTATTCAATGCTTGATAGCAGACCTTTTTTCCCAGCCAGTGTATTTGTTCATTTATTCATCAAATACTTACTTGAATCTTGTTATTTGTCAGGTACTGTTTCCACTTACAGAGAGAAACAATACTGGATGTCTGCCCCTGGTGCTCTCACTTATTAGCTGTGCAGTTGTCAAAGTATACTTAATCATGCTTACTGGCTTAACCATCTTTTTGGTCATTCTTTCTCCACTTTAGTCTTCTTTTCAGTCTTTCTTTCCCCGCCCCCCACCTCCTATCTATTTCTGTCTCTATCTCTATATCTGACACACCAAATTTGGTAGAAGATGATTTCCTTTCAGTTGGTCATCTAGCACCTTATTTGGCCTTTATGCTCTTAATGGTTTTCTTTGTTGGGCATTTAATATTAACTCTTTAATATTAAATAACAACTTCCCTCTTTTATCATTTAGTTAGAAAGTTAGGAAATCCTAAATTAATGTACTTTAATTATCAGTGTATCTCTAAATAAAATAAATTGGATAAATTAGATAAGAAGAAATGAAATTTTATTATATACTGTTTTACTATGACTATGTATTTGCATAATTAGAAAAAAACTACCATGATTATGGAAAAACATTATGAATTTATCAGCTTTTTTTTCCTCTTGACACGTCTATGGTATTTTTTAAAATGTTTTCACTATTTAATTAATATTATTTTTTTACTTTTGTAGAAATCTTTGATTGACATGTATTCTGAAGTTCTTGATGTTCTATCTGATTATGATGCCAGTTATAATACACAAGATCATTTGCCAAGGGTAAGTGAAAACTTAATACATAGTGAAATGGCCCCTTAGCAAAAATTTAGGTTTTAAAAAAGTTATGTGTATGTACACATACACAATACATACACATTCATATATACATATACATACAGATTAAACCAGAGACATATTCTTTTTTATGTAATATTATGAGTTATAGATGATTTTTTAAGTGTTGAATGTTATTTGAGTACTTTGATCCATTGGTCGACTTACATTTATCTGTGACAAAGGAAGGCTGTTACATATTTGGCATTACATATTCATAATAACCAATATATTAAAGTAACTGAACAGTGGATTAAATTCAGCACATGAGTGAAATTTAACCTGATAGAATTGAAAATGTCTTTGTAAAGAGTAAACTAGCTATGAGAAAGACTTGTGGAACTTGAATGATCTGGTTTTAGAAATAGTGGTTTAAATTAACACAAGTTTTTAATAAAATTTTGACTATACTAGTAAATGGGTCCGATTCATGTTTTGCTATTTATATTTTCAATATGCATACACGTATCAACTACCAATTTTTTCATGGATGATATTTTTTAAATCATTTAACTGTAGATACTTGAAAAGACTAAAAAAATCTTGGCAGCATTTCAAGTATGTTTAAATATAAGTTGGTATTGAATAATATAAATAAATGTTATTGTTTTGCCGTAAGGTTGTTGTAGTTGGAGATCAGAGTGCTGGGAAAACCAGTGTGTTGGAAATGATTGCTCAAGCACGAATATTCCCACGAGGATCTGGGGAGATGATGACACGCTCTCCAGTTAAGGTAAGAAAATAGGCCATCTGAATGAAGTTCCTTAGAGCTTTGTTTATTATGTTGAAATGAAGAGTTTTAACTAAATAAAGAATGGACACGGAGCATTTGGAATTATTCCTATTAGAAATAAGTAATAAGTAGGAAGCACAGTCAGGAAGCCAGTGTAACAGGAGCTGAATAAGGGGAGAGGAGGAAAAGGGTGCAGTGGAAGGCCAGGCTATCCTGTTATTAGGCTTTGGAGTTTAGTCTGCGTAAGAGAATAGAATCTTGGAAGTGGAGTCAATAAATAGAGATAATTATCTGTCTTTAATGTAAAAAAAAAGTAGAAAATGGGGCAGTAGCAGTTGAAATATGTTGGGTCAAGGGAGTGTTTTAAAGATATTTATATGCTACTAGAGGCCCGGTGCACGAAATTTGTGCACAGGTGGAGTCCCTAGGCCTGGCCAGTAATCAGGGCCAATTGGGGCTAGGCCTATCAGGGCCGGGCCGGAGAGGAGGCAACAGTTGCTGGGTCGGATCGCAGAAGGAACAGATGCCAGACACCAATGCTGCCATTGTTGGTGCCCCACCACTGTGCGATTCCTGCCTCCCCCTCTCCCCCCTTCCCTCACCACTGTGCCGCCACCGCTGTGGGCGGGCAGCAGGACGATCGGGACCTGCTGGCTGGGGGAAGGACGGCATGGGAGGTTGGCCGCACCCACCTCTGGTTCTCCGTCCCAGCCCAGGGGCCAGGGGGAGGGACTGTGGGAGGTTGGCTGGTAGGGGAGTTTGGCTGTGGAAGCACACTGACCACCAGGGGGCAGCTCCTGCATTGAGCGTCTGCCACCTGGTGGTCAGTGCACATCATAGCGACCAGTCATTCCGGTTGCTTAGGCTTTTATATAGAGAGATAGAGTTAGAGATATGTTATGATCTAGTTGAAAAAAAAATGATACAAGAGAGAGGGAGCAAAGTCATTGAGGTAAGAGTCTGGGACTCAGTGTACAAGTTGCCCATATAGAGAAATACTGACAATTCATCCATGGTTACAGGAAGGAAGTCTATGGCTTCAGAGTCTCTCATTCCAAAAATATTCATTAGGTGCTTAATATGTGCCAGCACTGTTCTAGGCAGTGTGTCGGTAAACAAAACAAAGATCTTTGACATAATGGGGGATATGGTCTAGTAGAGAGAGACAGATAATAAATAATCTATACTAATAAAAGGGTAATATGCTAATTAGGGTGGATGTCTTCTGGATGACCTTCCGGACAAAGCCGCAGTGGCTGCGAGGGCCTAAGCGCAGCTGTAGAGGGCCCAGGCTCAGGCCAGCAGTGGCGGCAGCAGCGGGGTAATGGGGGCAGTGCCTTCCCCTGATCTGCCAGGTCGCCTCCCGCAGAGGGAGGCCAGACTGCAGCTTAGGCCAGGGGCCGAGGCAGAGGCGGTTAGGGGCGATGAGGCAGGCAGAGGAGCAAGTTAGGGACGATCAAGCCAGCAGGGGAGCAAGTTAGGGGCTATCAGGCGGCAGGGGGGCAAGGTAGGAGCGATCAGGCTGGCAGGGGAGCAAGTTAGGGTCGATCAGGCTGGTAGGGGGCCAAGGTAGGGGCAATCAGGCCAGCAGGCAGAGGCAGTTAGGGGTGATCAGGTAGGCAGGCAGAGTAGTTAGGGGCAATCAGGCAGGCAGGCAGGCAAGCAGTTAGGAAGCAGCGGTCCCGGATTACGAGAGGGATGTCCCAGATTGGAGAGGGTGCAGGCTGGGGTGAGGGACCCCCCGTCTTGTGCATGAATTTCATGCCCCGGGCCTCTAGTAGACATAGTAAGTAACTAAGTTACATAGTATGCTAGAAGGTGGTAAGTGTGCACAGAAGAAAACAGTGGAGCCGGGCAACGGGAATGGTGGTACCAGGGTACTGGTAAGCTGCATGAGGAGGTGACAGCTGAACGAAGATTTGCAGAAAGTGAGGGAGGGATTCTGTGGGTATCCTGTTCAAGAGTGTTTCGTGCAGAGAGAACATTACTGCAAAGCTCCTGAGATAGGTAGCTGCTTAGTGTGTTCCAGGCCAGTGTGGCGAGAGCAGAGTGAAAAGCTGCCAGGTGATGAGGTCAGAGGGATACTGGGGAGAGCAGATTATTAGAGCCTTGTAGGTTATGCACACTTTGGTTTTTGTTTTGAATAAAATGGAAGCCAATGCAGTGTTTTGAGCAGAGTAACGACATACTTTTTAAAAGGTTCACTCTGACTGCTCTGTTGAAATAGACATCGACAAGAGGTGTAGAACCAAGGAGACCAGGTGGGAAGCTATTGGAGTACCCCGGTGATTCTTGTACCAGAGAAGTAGCAGTGAAAGTGGTAAAAAAAAATGGTTGAATCTGTGATGGAAGTAGGATCTACATGATTTTTTTACATATTTGATATGGAGAGAGAGGAAGTCAGTTGTCAGGATGACTTGAGGTTTTGGCCTGAATAAATTGAATAAATTAAAGCATGTGATTGGCATGGGGGAGTCTGAATTAGAATGAATTAGCTTTGGGGAAGAAAATCAGGAGTTTGGGACTTGTTAACAAAAAAGCAATTGGATATACAAGTTTGTAGAGCGGTCTGGGCAAGCTAGAGACTTAAATTTAGGAGTCATAATCGAATATCTAAAGGTTATATAGAGAGCCCTGGTCTTCCTGGGTAAGATCACCATGGGAGTGAGTAGAGAGAGAGAAGACAAAATGGAGGCTTATGTCCCAACATTAGAGATTGAGGGAAATGGAAACAATGAAGGAGTTTGTGAAGGAGCAACCAGTGTGATAGGAGGGAAACCAGAACACTGTGGTCTGTGTCCTGAAAGTCAGGAAGAAAATACCCAGGAGGAGGGAGTGGCGGGCAAGGTCAGTGCTGCTGGTAACCAAGGAAGGTGGAGACTAAGAACTGATTATTGAATTTACAGTGGAGGCAAGTAAGTGGCATTGTGGACATTTCCTTCTGATTGCTTCTACTCCCTCAGAGACATAAGCTAGATTATCAGCTGTTAAGTAGAGAGAGGGGAGAGGGTATTGAAGATGAATAAGTGGGGAGTGTGAAGTCTTTTCTAGGCGAGTGATGAGTCCAGGATTGAGTTGATGAGGGAAGTCAAGAAATATTAGGATTGCTGAGTGGTACTGATGTCCCCATTAAGGTCTGGACACAAATTTAAAGGGACACTGTATGGTTGTGTGTGTGTGTTTTTTTCTTTTAGTTCAGCTGGTGGTGTATTATAGAATAGTTGGAGAATTGGAGACTTGAAATCACCAAGGATGAAGCCCAGAGTAGTGGTAGAAAATGAGACAGTGAGGCTGATGCTAAAATCTTTTAGAAATGGAGTTTTTTTATAATGGCAACAAGCAGTCTGGTGTGATTCATACAGAGTGCACTGTGGTCTGGCTGCGAATTCAGCCATGTTGTGTCAAGCTAGTTTCTTTTTCATTGCTCCATAGCAGTGATTTTTAACCTGTATGCCACAAGAATTTTTAAAGCATCTGTACCTGACTATTTAGTCAGGGGCACTGACCTCTTTTCTCTTACACTGTCAGATAAAAAAAGTACAACAGCCAACACAATAGCCATTTGGTATGAATGAATCAAAATTATACCTATTTTTTGCTGTTCTTGTTAGACCGATAGAAAATATATTTTTTGGTGTGTTGCAGAATTATAGTAATTAACCTCATGGTGTGCCATGAGATGAAAAAGGTTTAAAATGACTGTTCTGTGGTATTGTTTGGCTGTACCACACTTTACGGATCTATTTGGAATACTTCTAATTTAGAAAAAAAATGAACTGACTACACCTCATATCATGCTCTGTAATCGACTGTAAAAACATTTTAACCTACCTTTTACATTGTTAGCAGCACTCTAATTGTAGTGGCTATAGATGATGTTATATTTTAGGGATTCACTTTCTTCTGTTAGGCTGTTCCAGCATGAACACATTTCCTTGAAACCAACAAGACTGGTCTCTCTCCAGTGTGCCCTTCCTCCTATAGTATTTACCAGGATTTCTCCTGGGTTGACTCTGAACTCCAGATTTTTGTGTCACCTGAAGAGTGGGATCTCCGGAATCTTGAATCTTGACTTAGTGTGTTAGCCTCGTTAGCAGCTTCTTTCTGCTTTGTTTCTTAATGTGTAAATGCCTCAAAGGGAAATTGTACGCAGAATATTCTGGAGGGCTCAGAATTTGGAGATTCATCACTGCTGTGAATTTTTCTCTGGGACCTTGGCAACCTGAATCGTGGCTGCCTGGGCTTCTCAATCCAGTAAAACTGTTACAAAGTTTTAAGCTTTTCTCTCAGGCCACAAATTAGCAAATGCCCTGGGGAAAATACCTGCAGGAATATCCCCCACAAATTCTTTAGGGTCTTGGACTCAGTCCAGGTTGCTCTCTGATGCCTTCAAACAGCTGGTTTTGTGTTCTAGCCTGTTAATCTAACCTCAGTAGAAGGAATTGTATTTTAAAAGTGAAATTGGATCATTATAGTGAAGCTTGAAAAGTTACACTTAAAAAATCAAGGAATGTGAAGTTGAGAAGTTGAAACCATTGATGGTTAACCTATAAGTTGTTAGAGAATTTCTTGCACATATGGCACTGTTTGGGGAAAGGCTGTCTTAGCTCTTTGAGTCAATTCTTCATACTTCCCCACCTACAACAGTTGATACAGTTAGCTCTCAATAAGTAGGTGTTAAATAAGTGAATTGTCCTTTATCTGAATTTACTGTGAAGTTAAAGGCAAGGTTTTCTTTTAGTTTTACAGGTTTTAAATTGGTGGTTTTGTGCTCAGTACTGTATATAATATTGACTATGAAACAAAAAGGGCAGTAGTATTTTAGGTCATGAAAGATACAAAGTAGCCATTGATCTTGTTGGGCAATCACAATACATGTGATAGGTGTATGGACAACACAGATAAAGAACTCTGTGGTCTCCGCATTGCTGTGTTGACAGCCCCCAGGGATCCTCCTGATGTGTGTGTAGTATGAAGGGACACCTGGATTTGTGCGATGCAGGGGCCCTGACCATGTAAGTGCTATGGGAATTAATATGAATTGTAAATGCATTATTACATTTCAATTTTCTATTAATTCCAGGTGACTCTGAGTGAAGGTCCTCACCACGTAGCATTGTTTAAAGATAGTTCTCGAGAGTTTGATCTTACCAAGGAGGAAGATGTAAGTAGCATTCATGTGAGGTTAATGTGTGTAACTTTATAACCTGTGTAAGCTTATGAAAGACAACTACAGGGAATATTTGTTAACTGAAGGTTTTCTCAGGACTTTGTTGTTTTCCGTTCATAGCTTGCAGCATTAAGACATGAAATAGAACTACGAATGAGGAAAAATGTGAAAGAAGGCTGTACTGTTAGCCCTGAGGTGAGTGTGCAATTCATTTCACCAGTGTTTTGTAGAATCTAATGGTCATGATATGAAATAAATCATGATATTGACATTGATATTTAGATTGTTGCTATTCCAAGATAACAGATATTTTTAATATTCCTAATAATATATCATTTTGTAGGAAATTGTCTTAGAATAATTACTTTTAGGATCAGAAAAAGAATAACATTTTTCTGAGCACCATATCTGAATGGATGAGATACAGACTTTTCAGACTATATATCACCAAAGAGTTCCTAACAAATTTCCCCTCCAATATTTTTTGTTTTGTTTTGTCCCCTGAGTAGACCATATCCTTAAATGTAAAAGGCCCTGGACTGCAGAGGATGGTGCTTGTTGACTTACCAGGTGTGATTAATGTAAGTATATACAAAACTTGTATTTTGTCGTATTCCGTTGTGGAAAACATTTATAATGACATTTAAAACCTTTTTCTTTAAGACTGTGACATCAGGCATGGCTCCTGACACAAAGGAAACTATTTTCAGTATGAGCAAAGCTTATATGCAGAATCCTAATGCCATCATCCTATGCATTCAAGGTAAATATATCACAAGATTTTAATTGCACTGATATGCTTCCTTTAGCAATCCAGGCTTTGCTCTAAATATGCATGTTACATAAACATGCAAGATAAATATGTTTCACCCTCTTTTATTTGTTTTATTGGTAAATAGAATTGAAGTTGGGAATAATTTTGTAAATTTCACTGTAGGCATCATAGAAATTTTTATTGGCTAGAATATCTTTTCATAACAAAAGATTTATTAGTAAAATTTTTCTTACTATAATGTAGACACAACAGTGTAGCTTGTAGAAATTTTAAAAATCCATTTTGCAATTATTACAGTGTCATATTTTTATTTTATTTTTCAGATGGATCTGTGGATGCTGAACGCAGCATTGTTACAGACTTGGTCAGTCAAATGGATCCTCATGGAAGAAGGACGATATTTGTTTTGACCAAAGTAGACCTGGCAGAGAAAAATGTGGCTAGCCCAAGCAGGGTGAGGTTCTTTATTATGAGACAAAAGATTCTTTGTACAAAAACTTGTATTTTACCTTATTCCTGTGTAGAACCATTTATAATGATACTAGAGTCCCGGTGCACAAAAATTTGTGCACTCGTGAGGGGGCCCCCCTCACCCCTGCCTGTGCCCTCTCGCAGTCTGGGACCCCTCGGGGGATGACCACCTGCTGGCTTAGGCCTGCTCCCCGGGGGATTGGGCCTAAGATGGCAATCAGACATCCCTCTGGCAGCCCAGCAGCCCTCAGGGGATGTCCACTTGCCAGCAGGGAGCAGACCTAAGCTGCAGTCAGACATCCTTAGAGCTGCTGAGGAGGCAGGAGAGGCTCCCACCACCACCGCTGTACTGGCAGCCATCAGCCTGGCTTGAGCAGAGCTCCCCTATGTGGGAGCGCACTGACCACCAGGGGGCAGCTCCTGCATTGAGCATCTGCCCCTGGTGGTCAGTGTATATCATAGTGACCAGTCATTCCCAGTCTTTCTGCTGTTAGGGTCAGTTTGCATATTACCCTTTTACTATATAGGATAGAGGCCTGGTGCACGGGTTGGGGCCGGCTGGTTTGCCCTGAAGGGTGTCCCGGATCAGGGTGGGGGTCCCGCTTGGGTGCCTGGCCAGCCTGGGTGAGGGGCTGATGGCTGTTTTCAGGCTGGCCACACCATCTTCAGGGTGGGGGTCCCCACTGGGGTGCCTGGCCAATCTGGGTGAGGGGCTGAGGGCCATTTTCAGGCTGGCCTGTGACCGAAGTTCCCAGCCTCTCCTTTTTTTCTTTTTTTTTTATTCTGGGATTTATTTACCTTCTATAATTGAAACTCCGTTGCTGTCACTGGCGCTCCCAGCTCTGAGGCCAAGGCTGGCTGAAAGCAGGTATCTGGGATTTGTTTAGCTTCTATAATTGAAACTTTGTTGCTTTTGGAGCTGTTGCTTTCGGAGCTCAGAGCTGGGCCGCGGCAGGTGGGGAACCTTGGCTTCCTCCATCACTGGAGCAAGCAAACTTCCTGCTTGCTTCAGCTGCGTGGCTGCCGGCCGCCATCTTTGTTGGCAGTTAATTTGCATATCTCGCTGATTAGCCAATGGGAAACTAGCGGAGGTATGGTTAATTACCCTTTTTGTCTTTTATTAGATAGAATGACAGGAGCTGTTTGTAAAAAATATATATATCCTTATGGAATACTTTATCAGAGAGTAGTAGAGGTGTTTTTTTTTGGTTTTCTGTAAAAACAAAGTATTGGAAAGTTATAGTAAATTATTTAAGTGCAATTTTGAGGTATAAATAAAATTCCATAATTATAGTTTGCTAATGTTGTATACTCTAAATAATTTTGTATGCTGACATACTGTCATTAACCTCATTCGTGATGTTTCTTTTTAAATTGATGTTCATAAATTAGTATAAAACTAGTGACAGTAAAGATTCCTTTTGGACCCTGTGTATGCTTTTTTTTTTTTTTGCAGAAAAACATTATCTTTCCTAACTGATCAAGACTGTATTTGATCATATAGCAGATTTTTATAATAGAGAAGGCATTAGATTAGGTGTAGCAGTCTTATCTGTGCTCTACCACCAACTGGTGTGTCCTTGGGCAAATTTTGTTACTTTTCTGTATCTAGTCAATGCAAAATCCAGCCTAGTAGTCTAGTTCAGTGATTTTCAACCGGTGTGCTGCAAAAATTTTTAAAACATGCAATTCCTGAGTATTTAGTCAGGAGCCTGATCTCTTTTCTCTTAGATTCAAATAAAAAAAATAAAAAAAAAAACAGCCAACACAATAGCTATCTAGAGCAAATGAATCAAAATAATACCTATTTTTTTTGTTGGATCGGCAAAAAATATATTTTTTGGTGTGCCGCAGAATTTTAGTAATTAGTTTATGTGTACCATGAGATGAAAAAGGTTAAAAATTGCTGGTCTGGTTGATCTCTATGGTCATTTCATTTCTGAAATTCTGTGACTTCAACTTCCTATACACGTTGCTCAGTGTCCCTAAAGGAAAGAGGTTTATTTCAAGGTAACATTATGTGTGTTATTGGGGTTCAGGTCCTGACTTAGGTCATGCTCTCTACTTAATTGTAAAGGTGTAAGGTTTCCTCATTAAGAGTGAAGAATCTGTAGCCACATTGCTTGGTTTCAAATCCTGTCCCTACTGTTTGATAGCTTTGTAAACTGGGAAAAGTTATTTAAGTTTTTTTAGTGCTTTAGGCCTCCTCATCTGTTGGAAATGAAGGTACTAATGGTACTAGCTCATAAGTTGTGAAGGTTTAATGAGTTCAATACTTGTTTTAAAAGTGTTTGAAATAGTGCTTGGCACAAAAGTGTTATACACAGGGTGGCTGTCATCTGTTATTATTTTATTATTATTATATTCTTATTCCCCATAGAACAACAACTTCAGATATAAGTACCTATCCCTGCCTAGAATTTCTCTCCTGTCCACCTGAAGCTTTCTGGAACTGGGCCTCTCTGTCAGGTTCCCAAGACAGATACCTCTTATGTTCACTGGTTGGAGGACTCACAGGACTCAAGCACATAGTTATACTTACATCTAAGATTTATTTCAATGAAAGGAGACAAAGCAAAATCACAAAGGGAAAAGGGACAAGAGATGATGTCTAGAGGAAACCAGGCTCACGTTTTCAAGAGTCCTCTCCCAGCAGAGTCACAGAGGACATGCTTAATCCCTCCAGCAACAGGTTGCTCATTAGAGACTCAGCACCTAAGGTTTTTATATGGACCTGGTTATGTAGGCACCATCAGGTACCAAAATACAGATGCCCAAAAGGAAAGCAGACGTTCAGCATAAGCCACATTGCTTGTACAATGGAGCTACTGTTATTTAGGGAAAGTTTTATATCGTTGTAGGGAATTGTTTACTAGTTAAGTCCCCAGATGCCAGCGTAGGACAAGAAGGCCTTTCTGAGGACTGTGTTAACTCTTTAATCTGACCTTGGCTTTGCCTTATTTTATAGGTGAGGCATGCTGTGGCAGTATTTGTCCTAATATGGAGAGAGGGGGAGAAGTAGGTGAAAGCAAATTTCTGTGCTTTCTTCCCATCTCTCTCCATTATTTTCATTTCTTTTTCCTCTTGTCTAGGATAGTGAGTTTGCATTTCTTTTGAAATGTAATTTAAGCTCATAGCAGTCCTTTTTTATACCAGAGTCAGCATTAGCTTAGGAATGTGGCCTATCTTAGAGCAGGGATTCTTACATCAGTAAGTCTTCAACTGGAGGGCCTTCTGGGAGTAGAAACTCTTTTACACTGTGTGAATAATAGATCTCTGTACAAATGTGCATTTTTCTAGGGCCAGAGACTGTAGTTTTGGTTATATTTAGAAAAAAATTTTTGACCCCAAAAGAGTTGAGAACCAATGGGTACAAATATTTTTTTTACAAAGAGTATAAAAAGGCAGTCCAACTTGGTTAGAATTTAGATATTTGCAGAAGAATATGGGGAAATAATAGCAGCTACCATTCATTGAATCTTCTGCATTCCTGGCACTGTGCTAAGTATCATTATTATCACATATAGAGGCCTGGTACATGAATTCGTGCACCAGTGGGGTCCCTCCGCCTGTCCTGTGGGATCGGGCTGAAACTGGCTCTCTGACATCCCCCGAGGGTTCCCGAATTGCGAGAGGGCGCAGGCCAGGCCAAGGGACCCCACTGTTGCACGATCAGGGCCGGGGAACAACATGGGAGGTTGGCCAGCCAGAGAGGGACTGCAGAAGGGCTCCAGGACATGTCTAGCCCATCTTGCTCAGTCCCAATTGGCCAGACCCCAGCAGCAAGCTAATCTGTGGATTGGAGCATCTGCCCCCTGGTGGTCAGTGCATGTCATAGCGACTGGTCGACTGTCTGCCCTCTGGTGGTCAGTGCACATCATAGCGACTGGTCAACTGTCTGCCCCTTGGTGGTCAGTGCACATCATAGTGATCGGTTGAGCGGCCTTAGCATATCGTTAGCATATTATGCTTTGATTGGTTGAATGGCCGACTGGTCAACTGGACACTTAGCATATTATGGCCAGAGGGAAGCCCGGGTCCCTAGTGCCTGTCAGCGGCTGGAGGGAAGCCTGAGTCCCAGGTGCCAGAGGGAAGCTGGTGCCAGCAGCTGGGGGAAGGAAGGCCTCCTCTTGCACGAATTTCGTGCATCGGGTCTCTAGTATAGGATAATTTTCTTAACAACCATTTTGAAAAAGTTGGAGTATTCTTAAGGCCACATAGCTAGTAAGTGGCAGAGCAGAAATTCAAACAGAGGCCTGACTCCAAAGCAGTACACATCATTCCAAGTTTTAATTTTGATACTTGTGTTTTAATAAAAAATTTTTAATATACTAAAATTAAATGTATTTATTTTTTCCTCAAATAGAAATTGAAATACATTTTAATTCTTTTGTATAGGTTTACATATTTAAATTAACTGTACATATACAGCATTATTAATTTTCCTTTCTAAATGGTATGTAATGCTCTTTAAAATTATGTAAACCTTTATCTCACATTTATTTTCTCACTTTTAAAAATAGATTCAGCAGATAATTGAAGGAAAACTCTTCCCAATGAAAGCTCTAGGTTATTTTGCTGTTGTAACAGGAAAAGGTATGCAAAGATGGATTACTGTAATTGAAGTTTTTGTTGTTTTCAAGTGATAAACATTTTCTCAGCGAGAACTTCACCATCATCTTTCCCTAGGAAACAGCTCCGAAAGCATAGAAGCAATAAGAGAATATGAAGAAGAATTTTTTCAGAATTCAAAACTCCTAAAGTAGGTATCTTGTTTAAACATTTAAAGATTTATAGGGAGTAGCTTGAACTAGTAGTTTTCACTTAAAAGTTTCTTTATAGCTGTTAGTTTAACGTTGATTTTTCAGAATTTTTCCCAGATGGTACCTACTAAATAAGTCCTCTAGCTACCCTGACAGAACTCAGAGCAGTTTATCACATGGTGCAATACATGCTGACATAGCAAACTGCCCCTGGGGTGTGGGCAATGAATGACAGTATGGACACCTGAAGTTGTGTTACTTATAAAGTGATTTTTAAAAACCAACACTTTCATTTTTAAATGCATGTATCTATTTCTCTTTCAGTGTTGGGGAAAATTGAAGTGGGCTGGGGATGTCAAAGGGGTATCCCTGAATACTAGTAGATATTGACAGAAATTATCAGAAAATATGATACTAAAGAAAAGCAAAAAGGAAGAGCTAAAGGGCAACTGAGTTATAATAAAACTTTATAAGTAGAGAGTCACTTGAAGTGGAAAAGTATGTTTGCCTCTATATTAGTATAGTAAATCAATATAGTTCTCATACTATTGAGTGAAGGGATAGGAGCTCACAGGTGTATAGAACTGTGCTGTCCAATACAGTAGTCACTAGCCTTGTGTGATTATTTAAATTTAAAGTAGTTAACATTAAATAAAATTAAAACTTCATTTCTTAATCACACTAGCCACATATTTCAAGGACTCAATAACCCCATGTGGCTAGTAGTAGCTACCATATTGGTTAATTTAGATATAGAATAGTTTCTTCATCACAGAAAATGTTATTGGACAGTGTTGCTATAAAAATGTATACGTGGGCTGTTCTCATTAGGTTATCATAACAAGCACATTCTCAAACTTAGTGATGGTATTGTCCTTTTGTTATTTTAGTATACTTTAACTCTTGTTACTTTTAATAGGGCCAGCATGCTAAAGGCACACCAGGTGACTACAAGGAATTTAAGCCTTGCTGTATCGGACTGCTTCTGGAAAATGGTACGAGAGTCAGTTGAACAACAGGCTGATAGTTTTAAAGGTAAGTTGGGTTTTTGAAATAAGGCAGCACATTTAGACATTGTATTAGCTGGCAATCTTAGGCATCCATGAGGTTCTTTACTCCCTTTAACAGTTGCTTTTCAGTTCATTTACTATTAGATAGTATGTGGAAAATGCAGTATTACAAGAACAGGGTGTTTCCTCTCAGAGGAAACATTGCTGGGAGCACATTGCGAGTTTCAACAGATTAGAAGGTGTGCAGTAGTATTTGGGAGAAAGAGCTTAGTAAACTGCAGTGAAGTCAGAGTCCCCCTTTGGGGGTTGAGGGGAGAGGAAATGTGTTAGGAATCAGCATTCTGCGCCTCGGCTAGTTCATGAATTCCATACTTTTCCTGCTCTATGGCTTTGCTTCCATAGTTTCATTTGGTGATAGTACACATTTCTTCCTTTTTTTCATTTGGCAATCCTACCTGTTTATTCCATTTAGTCCCTAAACAACCTTGTAAGTATTAGTATTAGGCCCATTTTACAGAAGAGAAAACTGAGGACAGAGTACCTTACCTAAGTAATACACCCAGCATCATACAGCAGTAGACCCAGGATTTGAATCTTGGTATAAATGCAGAGTCCATGCTCTTAGCTACTGTACTAAACTCTTTCGGTCATGTGTTTTGTGGATTGGATGTAGAAACTAGAGTCAAGGAGATTAGTTTGGAAAAGTTGCAATATGAGATTCAGAGATGTTGAGAGCCCAGAGTACTCAGGAGGCATAGGTGCACACTTAAATTCAGTTAATGAAGAAGATATGCATGATGGCCTTTAGCCACTGCCTGTGGAAAGAAAGAAAGTCCTCTAACTTGAACACCTGTCCTTCTTCCTCAGCAACACGTTTCAACCTTGAAACTGAGTGGAAGAATAACTATCCTCGCCTGCGAGAACTTGACCGGGTAATGTTTGTACACCTCATGTATTTTGCATATATCTAATCCAGCAATTTTCAAACAGTGTGCTGTAAGGTATTTTAAAACATGCAGCACCTGGCTATTTAGTCAGGGGCACTGACCTCTTTTCCCTTAGATTGTCAAATAAAAAAATGACAACAGTCAACACAATAGCTGTCTGATGTGAATGAGTTAAAATCACAACTATTTTTTGTTTTTTTGTTAAATCAGCAAAAACTACAATATGTTTTTTGGTGTGCATAGAATTTTAGTGATTAGTGTACGTGTGCCATCAGTTGAAAATCGCTGATGTAATCTAATATTGCACTCTAACAAAATGTATGTTAATGAGCGAAATTTGGTAAGCTACATTGTTCTGGTTTTTACCATGATTACTAATTTAAAGCTGCAAGAATGCATTCCCAGGAACAGTTATTTTTCTACAATAATTTAAATTATTTTTAAAACATAACTAGGGTCATGGGATGTCAAAACAAGTATTTAAAAGTATTTTCTGAGATGAAGAATTTTTTAAAGGCATTATAGAATTAGTTGTATTTATGTAATGTAAACTTATACACCAACTTTTTTACCTTTTCAGCATTTACTGTTGAAGAATATACTCTAATTTGATGGGATTTAAATACTAGTTTTCCTTGATTTTAAAAATGCCATTGGTTGTAAAATAGCATCAGTTTGCTAATACACTAAGTTAATATGTATTACTACTTTCATATAACATTTGGTATGTGAAAAATTTATCTGAACAAATGTTATGTAAAAAACTGCATTCAGAATTAAGTGAATAAGGTAGACATTTGTGTCAGTTTATTAGTCCTTGTCTGGATATTGGCATTTCTACAAAAGCTATTAGAAGAGAAGAGGGTTATTTGCTGGTCATGCATGCTTCAAACCTGAGCCCATCCTACTAGCCTGTCAGAGGCCTTCTTTTTAGTTATTTCTGAAAATCATGGCAGGGCAAATGGACTCTCTTATGAAAATCTTATTTCTTGTATCTATATTGCCTAGAATGAACTATTTGAAAAGGCTAAAAATGAAATCCTCGATGAAGTTATCAGTCTGAGCCAGGTTACGCCAAAACATTGGTGAGTATTTGATCTTTTTTCAAAAACTTTATGAATTATAATTAAATACTAAAATTTAGATTGATAAAGCTGTGATTTATTGTAGCTGTGACTCAATCCTCAAAATCTAGGCAGAAACATAAATGTATCTAACCCTGTTCTAGTCTACCTATTTAAGTATTTAAGTAGAATAATTGTGTATTTATTAAGTATCTTGCTTTTTACTCTTTTTTGGAGGGATGGGGGCGGGTTGTAATTGCTAGAATGATTAATTTAAAACAGGGGGTGGGGGGTAGGATGTCCGGGCTGTGGGCCATATAACGCCCATGAAATCATGTGGATTGGCCCTGCCAATGCATTAGGGGTGAGTTAATTAAATGTTTGACCAAATATAGCAGGCTAATTTTTAAGTTGATAATTTTTAAATGGTCTGCAAATGATCTTATATATATCCAAATGGTCCTTGGCAGAAAAAAGGTTCCCCACACCTGATTTTAAAGGTTATCTCACTCCCATCTCAAAACCTATAATGGCTTCATAGCACACATCCAAAGTTCCCTAAGTGGCCCTCAGAGGCCTGCACGACCTGGCCCTGGCTGCCTTTTCACCCTCTTCCACTCTGCCCTTTATTTGAGAACTCTAATGCCCTGGCTGTCTTGCAGTTAGTTCTTTAGGCAGCTCTATATTCTTTTAAAATCTGATTGCTTGAGGCTTTTTTTTACCTTTAATATGTTTTGTACAAATCACTATTCAAATTGAATCCTATTTGAAATTTTTGTTAAATAGCAAGTAAATACATCCTTTTGAAAAATACTCATGCAAGTGTTTCAAGGCAAGCTATCACCTTCAACTTATGCTTTGTGTAAATTTGGGTGCTCTTAAATTTGTTGGAGTGGGCACTGTAACCAAAGTGGGTTCTATATACCTCAAGTAAGCTATGTCTAAATAGCCCTTAGATTTTTTGCAATCATCTGTTAATTATCAAATTCCTGGTGCATATCTTATCTAACGAAATCTGTGGTATCTTAAAGAATTTATCACTCTAGGAGCAGAACTATTCTTACTGCCATGCATTACAAATAGTTTCTGTACCTCTTCTGTTTGCTCAGTTCAAAATTATCAAAATTGACCCTACATAGTAGTGTTCAATCCTTGAGTTTGAATTCAATATTACTAGTTTCCCCATCCTGGTGACCTTTCTTCTTCAGTAGTGAACACTTTTCTCTCTTTAAGCAGTCAAAGTTTACCTGTTTTTAATCTCCCCTATTAAAAACAAAAACAAAAAAAAGGGTTTTGGTCTATACTTATTGAGTAATTATATACAACACAACTTATCTTTGTTATTCTTTGTATTTTAAGCTAGTTCTATGGCTTTATGTAAGCCAATTCATTTTAATAACTAATAATGCCATTTGTGGCAGAAAAATTTGATGATTCTGTAAATTCAGGGCATCATCAAATGGCATGGTTGGTTTTGTTTGAGCAGAACAAGTCTGTAATCAAAGTTACCAGCAAGAAAACGAGCCTTAATAGTAAATCTCATTTATTTAGCACACAAGTGGCTGAGGAGAATTGTGCAGGGACAGGAAGCCTGCATTGCCAGATTGCCTGTTGAGAAGGCAAGGGAGAGAGCTGGGACAGCTGGCTCCTAGACATTTACTCTGTGTGCTGCTGGAGCAGATGATTTTGTATATTTTCATCATTTTTTTTTTAGGCATTATAGCTTAACACAAATATAGATCAAAATAGCAGGTCCTAATTTTAACTGTTCATACCACATTGAATTCACCCCAAACATTTTTAAAAAATACATTTTATTGATTTCAGAGAGGAAGGGAGAGGGAGAGAGATATAGAAACATCAATGATGAGAGAGATTCATTGATTGATCGGCTGCTTCTTGCATGCCTCCTACTGGGGATCAAGCCCGCAACTTGGGCATGTGCCCTTGACTAGAATTGAACCTTGGACCCTTCAGTCCACAGGCTGATGTTCTATACACTGAGCCAAACCAGCTAGGGCTATACCCCAAACATTTTATGTTTGTGACATATTGATGTCTTAGGTAGTTTCTTTTTACTGAATAATGCCTTATGTGATATTTTAGAATGTGTGCTTAAGATGCTTATAATTGTTAAGGTCACAGGACTGTTTGATCTATATATGTGCTCTGGAAGCAGTGTTATAAGCATTTTATGTCCTAAAATGTTTGTTATTCAGTTATAGACATTCTACTATACTTTAATTATATTTTAAGAAAGTTATTGGGGGTTTAGGCTTGACATATGGTACATTATAGTGAGAAATAGGCTCTCAACATTTTTACACAATATACCTGATCACCAAGAATCAATTACTGACATTAAGCTGGAGATACTGGTATATCATTAACATGATGTGACCATCATCATAGATTTTTTTTTCCATATGTCATTTGGAAGAATAGCTGGCTAGATTTATAGAAACACACTTTTTAAAAGAAATGGTACCATGGTATGGATACAATTTTTGCTGAAGGGTATTAAGTTTATTTTGTTGAAGTTAGAAGAATGAAAGGAAAATGGGAATGCACAGTTGAGTCCTCTAATTCAAATTTAAGGAATCAAAAAAGATTTCTGATATAATCTGAGATGTAAAGGTGGTAGGTAAAGGCAGTTTGTGACAGGGATATTGCAGAACCAGGAGGTGAAAGCAAGAAAGGTGAAGCAGGTAGCCGTCACCCCTAGTTTTAGCATAGAAGGAGGATGGAGGCGGGAGATAAAACAATGAATATAAGCAAGACATAGATTATTCTGGGCCTTACAAGCCAAGTTCAGAAGACTGGAATTTATCCTATGAGCAGTGAAGGCCATTGAGGAGGTTTAGGTCAGATTTGCATTTTAGAAATATCTTTGTAGTTGAGAAAATGGAAAACAGGTGGAGAAAATTGTAAGCAAGGAGGCAGTTGTAATAATCTAGACAAGACATCATAGTGGATTGAGTTTGAATGGTGGTTGTGCAAGTGGAGAAGTGGAGACATTCTGAGATATTTAATAGGTTACCTAGAAAATAGAATTGACAGGATTTAGTGATTGGATGCAAAAGTAATGGAGAAGAGGCAATTAAACAGCGAGTACATCGACATCCAGTAATTACTTTGTTAGGAGTCTATGGAATGAAGATAAATTTGACAAAGATGAGCACATAAGAATCTTTACCATGGTTTTGTTTATAAGTGTAAAAAATTGAAGTGTAAAAAAAACTTCACTATTTGGAATCATGTAATATTTGATGTATCCATAGATGGATTACTGTAGAGCCATTGAAAAATATAGGATGTTGACATGGAAAACTGTAAGATGTACTTTTAAGTTTAAAAAAGTATTTATAAAGCAGTATGTGTACTGATCTACTTGTGTAAATATACATGTACACAAGCATTAACTTTTTAAAACGACAACTTAAGCTGTAAATAGTGGTTGTCTACTGAAAGAGGAATTGTGGATGGGTGTTTACTTTTTCTGTGTTGGTTGAAATTAGTATATGGAATAAGTCCTCTGCATTAAAAGAAAAAATTTCCATTTTGAAAATTTATTAAATTAAAATCGAGAGTAGGGAAAGTTCCTGGAGATAAAGAGGGTAGTAAATATGACTATAATGTGAGTTGTATTTTGTATATTTGTGGGATTTATCCTGTATGTTGGCAAAACTTAGTATAAAGAAGTCTGCAGTCACGTGGAACATATGCTGGGAAAAGTGTTCGATATGAGTAGGGATACAAGTAAGCATAGTGGATGGTATAAGAGGCTGTGTTTTTTTACATGAGAATTGGGAACTAATGGTCCAGAAGAGAAATGGTGGGGGGAGGAAAACATAGCTTCTGCTTCCTAACTCTGAAGCACAATCAACTAATTAATGAGCAGCTTCCACTCAGCAGAATTTGAGGATGATTACTGTCCATTGGAAGAGTCAAGAAAGGTTTGAAGATGCAAGGAAAAGGGAAAGAGTGAGAATGTAAAATGATTTATGTGTTATGGAGCAGAGTCTTGCATCACAATAAATCACAATAAAAATTACTGTAATGGTGGGGGCAGGGGAGTCTAGACAGATGACAGCAGCTTGGTGACAAAAGAGCCAGTGGGGGGAATGGGGGCGGGAGGGGGAAGAACCAGTGAGGCTTGGGTTGGATAGGTGACATAGCTACCCAGGGTGGGTTGGAAAGCAGTAGGCTCCATTGAGAATGTGGCATTAGGCTTGTGAGGATTTGGTGGTCTGAATTTTTGCTATAATCTCCTTGAAATGGTGTCTGGGATGTAGATTCCTGACCCAGAATTTGCTGGGAAGAAATAACAGACCGGGTCTGTTCTGAGGCAGGAGCAGCAGAAAGCTTTAGCAGTCAGAAGCTCAGTCATGATCTTTTGTTTATTTTTCAGAAATTTTCTTAAGTTTGTGTTTAAAATGGCATGTGAATAGGGAGGCCCTGACAAGCTTCTTTTCCTTTTTTTTTAATAAGTCTCTATTGTTCAGATTATTACATTTGTTCCTCTTTTTCCCCCCATAGCTCCTCTCCACCCGGTTTCCACCCTCCACTGCCCTTACCGCCCGCACTGTCCTCGTCCATAGGTGTACGATTTTTGTCCAGTCTCTTTCCACACCCCCACACTCCTTTCCCCCCCAAGAATTGTCAGTCCACTCCCTTTCTAAGCCCCTGTTTCTATTCCATTCACCAGTTTATTCTGTTCGTCAGATTTTTTATTCACTTGATTTTTCGATTCACTTGTTGATAGATATGTATTTGTTGTCACTTCGTTATTCATAATTTTTATCTTTACCTTTTTCTTCTTCCTTTTCTTAAAGAATACCCTTCAGTATTTCATATAATACTGGTTTGGAGGTGATGAACTCCTTTAGCTTTTTCTTGTCTGTGAAGTTCTTTATCTGACCTTCAATTCTAAATGATAGCTTTGCTGGGTAGAGTAATCTTGGTTGTAGGTTCTTGCTATTCATCACTTTGAATATTTCTTGCCACTCCCTTCTGGCTAGCATATTTTCTGTTGAGAAATCAGCTGACAGTCATATGGGTACTCCCTTGTAGGTAACTGACTGTTTTTCTCTTGTTGATTTTAATCTCTCTTTGTCTTTTGCCTTTGGCATTTTAATTATGATGTGTCTTGGTGTGGTCCTCTTTGGATTCCTTTCGTTTGGGGTTCTCTGTGCTTCCTGGACTTGTAAGTCTGTTTCTTTCACCAGGTAGGGGAAGTTTTCTGTCATTATTTCTTCAAATAGGTTTTCAATATCTTGCTCTCTCTCTTCTTCTGGCACCCCTATAATTGGGATGCTGGAACGCTTGAAGTTATCCCAGAGGCTCCTTGCGCTATCTTCATATTTTTGTATTCTTTTTTCCTTTTGCTCTTCTGGTTGGGTGTTTTTTGTTTCTTCATATTTCAAATCTTTGACTTGATTCTTGGGATCCCCTAGTCTGCTGTTGGATCTCTGTATATTATTCTTTATTTCAGTCAGTGTATGCTTAATTTCTAATTGGTCCTTTTTCATATCCTTGAGGGTCTCACTATATTTCTTGGAAGTTTCTAGAAGATTCTTGAGTAACCTTATAACCGTGATTTTGAACTCTATATCCAGTAGTTTGCTTTCCTCCATTTCTGTCATTTGTGACCTATTTCTTTATCTCTGCATTTTGGCTGCTTTCCTGTGTTGATAGAATGGCTTTCTGTGCTAGGTGTCCTGTAGGGCCCAGTGGTTCAGTCTCTCTAATTACCTGAGGTGGACACTCTTGGTGTACTCCTTGGTGGGCTGTGTGCACAGTCTTGTTATAGTTAAGCCTTGATTGCTGTTGGTATTACTGGGAGGAATTGACCTCCAGGCCAATTGGCTTTGAGGACCAGTTGTGTCTACAATGGGAGAACTTCTGTGTTGGAAACACCCTTATGGGGCGGGACTTGCTTCATTGGGGCTTTGGTGCTCACTGAGTCTGCCCCCTGAGTGTGTCTCTTATGGATCTGAGGAGTTGTAATCTGGATGGTCTCCCTCTGACCACTGGGTAGACTGGCTCTTGGATCTCCAAAGAGGTGCAAAGTCAACCACTGCCTGAGGCCACCCTGCAGAAGCTACAGAGAGATCTGCAGATTCCTCCTCTTTGTTTGGGGTTTGGAGGTGCCCAGATGAGGCACAGCTGTGAAGTAATGCAGGCTGCTGAGGAGCCGTAGGCCTTCTTTTGGAATCTCTGGGATTCTCTGACCCAGCTACAGTTTGACAGGTTTGTAGGCAGAGAAAGGCCAGGCCATTAGTATGCAAAAGCTTCTGTGCACAGCTTGGGTGGGGATATAAATTGGGTGTGGCGGGGTCTCAGGGAATCACCAGGGTGGAGCAAACTGCAATGGCTGCCAGTCTGCTTTGCCTCGGAGAGGTCCTGGGGTCTGTGTCCCCCCCGCCCGTGCAGGAACAATGAACGCTGCAAGCACTTCTGCCAGGAAGCCGCCCTCACGTTCCGGCCCAATGCCAGACAGTACAGTTTCTCTCCATATGAGTCTGGGTCCCCAAATTTTTGCCCGCAGCTGGAGTTCAGAGCAATCGGGAGCTTGCATCTCCCTCCCGATTGAAAAAGACAACAGCGTACCCAGCTGCCAGCCCCTTTCGCGTGCGCCTCCGTACCTCCACACTTCCACCTCCTGCCGGACTCAATGCACTTTTCTCTTTCCTTCTAGTTGTAGAATTTCCATTCAGCCAGCCTCCCGTGGTTCTGGATGATATTCGTTTTGTCTTTTAGTTGTAGTTTTAATGTGGTTGTACATGGCAGCAAGTTCAGGTGTTCACCTATGCCGCCATCTTGGTTCTCCTCACAAGCTTCTTTTCTTCAGCTTGCTCCTAGCATTCTCCCATTATTTGTCATGAACAGCATGACTAAATTGACTTTGTCCTCTGGTCCACAGTGGTGTATCCTCTCCTCATATTCTTTTTTTTTTTTTTAATTGTATTGATTTCAGAGAAGGAGAGATGGAAAGAAACATCAATGATCAGAGAGAATCATAGATTGGCTGCTACTTGCACATCCCCCACTGGGGACTGAGCCTGCAACCCAGGCATGTGCCCTAACCAGGAATCAAACCATGACCTCCTGGTTCATAGGTCGTTGCTCAGCCACAGAGCCATACCAGCCAGGCCTCATATTCTTTTTTTTACCTGAAAGTTAACAAGAGAAAACCACCAGCTAAGCTCAATAAACTTAATTTTACACAAAATATTAAGTATGAGTAGTCTCGGATAAGAAGGAGTGTTGACCCAAGAAAATTAAGCTTGGCTTTTAGACAGCTGGGATATCTGTTTTTACTACCCTCGGCTTTGTGGCTGCATCCTAGAGGTTGAGGTTACTTTTACGACAGACCACTTGATAAGCAGAATATTTTTGTATATTACATATTTTAGTAGTATACAGTAGTAGAAATTAGTTTGGAACAAATCAAATAAATATTTGCTTGAGATTTCAGGGTTTTTTTCTTGATAGAAATAGTTGACAGTAGGGGGGTGAGGGCATATGCTGGGGGGTGGGAGCAGCTGGGGAGAGGTCAATGGGGGAAAAAGGAGACTCATGTAATACCATACTTTAAACAGTAAGGAATTTAAATTAAAATAAAAAATAAGTAAATAAAAATAAAATATTTTTAAAAAGGAAAGAAATAGTTCTCTTTTTCTTATTTAGAGATCTGTATTCATGTAAAATATCTTTCAAGGCAGAATTTTCAACTTGATTGTGCATCCTTTATATCTATTGTTTCTTTAATCATGAAATGTGGAACAATATTACTTAGCAATATTTCATAACATCTCTGTGCTTCATGCTGTGGTCTGATAAATTGTTAAAATTATACCAAGTTTTCAGACTTGGACTCCGGTTCACAGTCAATATGCATAATGTATGTATTAATATTAGGCAAATAAGCCAATGAAAACATACTTAGAATTATTAGTCATTAGGGAAATACAAATTCAAATCACAATGAGATAAACTATAAATCTATTAAAAATGACTGACATTAAAAGAACTAATCATACCAAGTGTTGGCAAGAGGGAGGATCTAGCTTCTCATACTCTGTTGGTGGGAACATAAAATGGTCTGACCATTTTGGAAAACAGTTTGGCATTATCTTAAAAAATTAAATATATAATTACCATATGAATCACCATTCCACTTATAGAATATTTGCTCAAGAGGAACAAAAGCATATGTCCATGCAAAGACTTGTACAGGAATGTTCATCGCAGCTTTATTTGTAATGGACAAAAACTGGAAACAACCCAAATGGCCATCTGCAAGTGAATGGGTAAACAGGTTCATGTGATGGAATATTACTCATCAGTAAAAAGGAGTGAAATATTGATATACATGCCATAGATAAACCTCAAAATAATTATGCTGAGTGAAAAAGACAAAAAATAAGAGTACATGCTGTATGAATGCATTTATATAAAATTATGGGAAATATAAACTAATCTGTAGTGACAAAAAGCAGATCCAGTGGTGACAACTTTTGGGAATGATGGCTAGTTCATTATCTTGATTGTTGTTATGCACAGGTGTGTACATATGTCAACACTTTAAATATGTGCGATTTATTGTAAGTTAATGATACTGCGATAAAGCTGTTTTAATAACTTAATATTATACTTAAATTTGGTGTTCTTGAAATGTTTTCTTTTTAAATTCCAGGGAGGAAATCCTTCAGCAGTCTTTGTGGGAAAGAGTATCAACTCATGTGATTGAAAACATCTATCTTCCAGCTGCACAGACCATGAATTCAGGGACTTTTAATACCACAGTGGACATCAAGCTCAAACAGTGGACTGATAAACAGCTTCCTAATAAAGCAGTAGAGGTTAGGATATAATTTAATTAAATGGGTAAGAAGCATTATCTGAAGGGAGTAGGAGCTGTGAATTTTAAATTTTATTCCCATCACAGCCACTATCTTTCTTTTTGTCTTTATACTCCATTCTTTATTCCTCATATCTGTGTTGGGATTAACCTTAATGCTGCTACCAGTTACTACTGTTATAAATCTTTACTAATTGGTATGGTGTTGGTCTGAGGGTATTATTGTTTTCCTCCCCAAAGATAGCATTTAACAAAACTGCCAAAATTTGCAAATATTTCAAATGTGAAACATTTTTAACTTCTTTTGTGGATAAAGATTCCATAAGGAAAATATTTAATGGATAAAACATTTCGTGTCTTGATTTTCTGCAAGGCTCAATTATACTTAAATAATTCTTTAGTTTGGATCTTGCCAGAAGGTTAGACCAGAAATTATAAGAAAGTGCCTTAAAAAATTTGCATTTCTGTTACCCTACCACTTACTAGCTGTGTGATCCTTGGGCTAGTAGCTTCTGATTCCTCATCTATAAAAATAGGGTTGATAATGTTGCCTATCTCACCGATTGTTACAGGAGTAAATGAGTTAATGTATGTAAAATACTTAGACAATGCCTGGCCCATAGTAACTGTTCAGTAAATGCCAGTGCTGTTATGATGGTGATGATGATGACCGCCATTCAAGGTGATCAGCCATGCATATCACTTTGAAACACGATTGTTCCAGCTAAGAGTCTGCCTCCGGTGCTTCTGTTTGAGGATGCTCATAAAATTAGAATCAGTGTTAAGAATAATTTTGTTTTTCATACCTACCTTAGAAACAAAATGTCAGTCTCTGATTATTCAGGTGTATTTCACCCCTTTCCTATCCTGTTCCAGATACAGCTTCTTCACCGCTGTTCTCAGTTTCCGTACGCCTCCCTTTCTAAGAACACTTGTGGTCATACTGCCCCAGCTATGTGCTGCTGACCCCTGCCCACTTCTCTGCACATTTACCCCTGATAATTAGCGCTGGTGCCACCACTTCACTAGCTGTCCTCACTACCGGCCCTGACGTTTTTCTGGGCCCTGCCTCATGAGAGGATATTTTTATATCCTACGGTTCAAGCAGTGGAAGTGGTCATAGAAATGGCAATGATTCTGTCTCCTGCTGGCTCTGCCCCTTCACACCTGGTTGTGGTAAAAGATGCGGATCTGGTGAAGGTCAGGAAACATTGATTTTAATACTTCACTGAGTATTTTTGTACAGGCACCTTTCTTCATGGCATAATTTCTTAATGTTTGAAATGAAGAGGGCTAAATATAAAATGCCGTTTTGACACTGCTCTTTCACTATTCATCTTTCACTCTCGATTTTTAAATATTAGATACTAATTTTTAGAAACTTAAAGCACTGTGTATGTCTGTCAACACATGCCAGGAATTCAAATCTATCCCACCAGCTGCCAGTGTAGATGTCTAGGCCAGAGTTTATATTTGTTGATGGTTTTCTTAATGCAGTTTCATAATGTCTTTTCTGATAAGCTGACCTGTCACATCTGACTTAAGTTCATGTGTGTATTTTTCATGTTATAAATTAAATAAAAGTATGTAGTATAATTTTTTTCTTTTAAATTATTCTAGGTTGCTTGGGAGACACTACAAGAAGAATTTTCCCGCTTCATGACAGAACCAAAAGGAAAAGAGCATGATGACATATTTGATAAACTGAAAGAGGCTGTTAAGGAAGAAAGTATCAAACGCCACAAGTGGAATGACTGTGCAGAGGACAGTTTGGTATGTTGTTTGTATATTAGGGTGTCAGCCTCATATGTTTATGTAATTTCTCAAATTGATACTTTTATGAGAAATGTTTTATATGACTAAATTAGATTCTGAATTTAAAATAATGAAGGAAAGAAATAGATTTACGATCTGTAATTGACCCTTTGACATTTCTCTGCCCTTCTGTAATTGCCTTCTGTTATTTCTTGCTTGGTTATCATTTTAGAAGAAAAGCAAACTTCTCAGTAAACAGGCTTCTATAAACTTCAACAAGTTGTTATCCATTAGCCTGAACTAATAGAGGTTAGCTGTTTCTCGGTTTACTTTCTGGTAAAGAATTAGATGCATTGATTTTCGGTGGATTTGAGTCATAAAATGTTAGACTCCTAAATCATAATGCTAACTACCATGTGTTGAATGCTTACCAGGTATCAGAAACTGCTGTGTATTTTGTAAGCATTCTTTTATTTCATTCTTTTTTTTTTTTTTCAGAGACTAAACCAACTTTATTTTATAACAGTATTACTGAAAGCAAAATATCATTTAAAACAACTTGAAGCTGCCATAAATCTAATCTTGCATCCTAACTATACATAAGATCAAAAGCAAAAGAAAAAAATGTTCAGTACAGTTAATAAGTCCCTATTGGGCCTTACATGGTCTGGTTTCCTGTAACCATCAAAAAACCACCACAGCCCCTACCAACTCCTCTCCCCAGTGTCCTCAAACCTGTGTGAATCATCAGGCTATCTGAAAGAGACAGACCTACTCAATAACACAAGGTCGGCTTTACATGTAGACAAGGAGCTTTAGTACAAAGCAAGTGTTCTGCACAAATGTTCAAACAATGGAAAGTACTGAAATTTGGACATGTTAAGAAAGGAAGCACAAGGTTTTAAGCTGCCTGAATACTTTATTAGAAAGGAAGAAATTGTTTTCTCTTTCTCCTCCCTCCTGTTTCTGGAATGCTGCTGAAGAGCGCGTGGTGTCTGAGAAGAGTTGGCACTGTGGTGCGGTGGGGTCTCTACACGCAGTGCGTGGTCAGTGAGCTTCTTCATAGTTCTCCAGTGTGGAGACCCTCTGACTTTCTATTTCTACTAAGAGTAAAAAGTTGAAGGACAGGAAAGTCAAAAGGGTTCAATATAAAAAATATCCCCAATGAATTTGTCAAACATTAGGAAAGTTTCAAGATGTAAGAAATGCTTTTAATCTGTATTAATAATTTCTCATACAGTATATTTACTGCAGTCTGAAAACTCTGTAAATATTTACTGTAATTCAGTGGAAACTCAATGGGAGGAACCTGGAAGAAGGAAAACCATGATTCAAATTAGTCACAGAGTTTCCTTTGTGCACAACAGCACCTGTTCCATTGAACAGCACTTGCCAGCTGGGCTGCTCTGTTCACCAGCATTTGGATCAAATGAGTCATATAATGCAGGTAGTAAACAGGAAATAAAACAAAACTCCCTGATTAAAAAAAAGATATAGAAAGAACCAAGAATAATCAGAAGTGGTTATAAAATAAAATACATATTGAATGTGAGGGAACAGTGTAGACCAGAGCTGTTAAGGTAAGGTTTGGCATTGGCATTTTAATTTTTCAGGCTTCTGGTCATTACCAGCTGTAGTATAAATTCAGAGAATTATTGGTGTGGCATTACGACTTGAAATGGTCAGAAGTCTTCCGGTTCACTAAGTTGAATGTTGTTCAATAATGAATTTCTTACCGTACTTTTCCCTTTCCTCCAGCTCCGTTTCTTTGAGCACCAGCACTCTCATGACCGATGTGTCGGGTACTGCTCTCAGGCTTCCCTTGGGCCTGGGCAGGCTCCTGGTGCTGATCACTGTCTGCATCTCCTGTGATCACGATGCTTTTCTCAATTTGTTTCAGATAGTCCACCTTTTATAGTCTTGGTGATGTGTGTGGTGGTTGTTGTCGATACGGAATCAAATGTGATGGTTGTGCAGTCTGTAACGTGCCCAAGTCACCAGCAGCCCCACCATCAATCTGGGAGACTTCAGTGTGATGGTTTTGGTCAAAGTTTGGACACTAGGGACTTCCTTGGTGGAGATTTCTGTCCTTTGTGAGGCATCAGAAATTGTTACCATCTCTGTCTTTACCACGGGTGGCTTTGAATAACAAATAATTTGTGGCAAACATCAGTGTCACCATGAGATACCTGTCTGTTAACTTTATGTTGCTCATCTTGCTTAATAGCACCTTCGTGAACACTCTCTCTGCAGATCTCTTTGGGGGAACTACATGTTTCTGGATCACTGTTACTGCCTACACTGGCTCCTCATTCCACGGCCTGAAAAATCTTTTGTTATATGTAACAGTCTTCTCACCATAATCAAACCTTACTAAGCACCTGCTCTGCTCAGACAAAGGCACTGTCTTCCAGGAAAATGCATATCTGACTGTGGGCTGGTTGTAATTATAATTTTTTGGAATAAATAATATTTATCTTCATATTTGAAAACTGTATTCTTGTTAGCTGCCTTATTAAGATTGGCTTTCTGAGAGAATAGTGCCATTTTCATTCATTCAACAATTAAAAAATTTGAAAACTAGTTTTTTTATGATAAATAACATTTGCTTGTGATTGTTTAGACCTTTAAGCTTCCCCCCATTACATTTTTCAATGCTGTTACCAGTGAGATAATGATTATTATTTTTATCCTCTCTTATTGAAAATGCTAACACATAGGTCATATGATAAAAAGGAGAGGTAGAGATGATCTGAATCATTAACTCCTAAATACTAGGATTCTAGGTGTTAGATTTTATGTAGTTAAATGTGTATATGCCCCTCTCCAGCCCCCACAATGATCTTAGAAATGGTCAGCTCATTTAATTTGGGCTAGGAGAAATTCTTCACTGTTGTTTGTTTAGACAGAAAGCTGACAAATAGGCAGATACTAGGAACTCCTGCATTTGTGTGGAAGGGACATGCTTTATGTCATTTTAGATATTTGCTAAGCTGTCAATTTGAATAAAATTACTAAATGATAAGACACAAATCATATTAGCTGTTTTTCTTCCCTTATTATTTCAGAGGGTTATTCAACATAACGCTTTAGAAGACCGGTCCATATCTGATAAACAGCAGTGGGACGCAGCTATTTACTTCATGGAAGAGGCTCTTCAGGCTCGTCTCAAGGACAGTAAGTAGGGACAGGGGTTATGGAGTTTTGAGTAGTTTCTGAGGAAGGAATCATCCAACTTCAGAGAACATTTGTAATTCTTAAAAAATTAATATTTCCAGGTCTTTGTTATTAATACTGTAGTTGAAGATTATTTGTGGGATTTTTTTTTAGTGGACTGCTTAGTTACTACTAAAAATATTAAGTAAATTAGACACAAGTACTGATCATCTAAAAAGCTGTATTCAAACTATTCTAGTGTTTGCTATACTTAGGAGAACTTTACAAGAACTTCACAATGAATTGTACTTTTCATTGGTTGTAAACATATATAATTAAATTATTTCTTATATATGCACCCTATCAATCATATAACTTTTTCTTCATTTGACTTTATATTGCTCTATCATTTTGAAGTGGTTATGAAAGCAAGAATATTATTAGTTGTAATTTCTGTACTTGGTAAATGACAAAATTCATGATGAATTTAAATTTTTCTTTCAATCTTTTAGCTGAAAATGCAATTGAAAACATGGTGGGTCCAGATTGGAAAAAGAGGTGGCTGTACTGGAAGAATCGGACCCAAGAACAGGTAAAAACAAACAAATCTCTGCCCTTATGATGATATAATTTTGGTCATTTTAGTTCAGGCAGTAAAATAGAACCTATGCACGCCTCTACACCAGTCTTAATAATTTCAAATGTTTATGTCAGCCTTTCTGAAATATAAAATCTTTAGAATAAACAGTAAACTATGAATGAAAGTTTTTATAAGTAAAGTAGCTGTGTTAGTAAAAGAAAGAGTTGAAGCATGTCTCTTTTGTGGTTGCTTTGCTTTGTTCATTTCAATTCCCTATTTGAGGTAAATTGAAGATTATAGTTATGAAAAAAGGAAAAGAATAATAAAGGTTTCAGAGGATGTAGAATGAATATGATTAGAATAAGAAATATAACTTTTTTAACCTTATTCTATTATATTATCTCTGGATTTTTTTGTTGTCTATTCAAATTATTATAGTCTTTTCCTTTTTTTGCTCCTATGTTCACAAAATAAGTATAAAAATTTAGACAGGAAACAAGCAGAATTACAGAATTCATTTATTTACATTTAATGAGCATTTCAGAAGAACAAACTGGTAAAGACAAGTGTAAATACCTTTACCAATGAGTAAAAGAGGGAAAATGGGTTAATTATTAAGTATCCAACCCCCACGCTTTTTATTCCTTCCTTATTGTTGTGGCTTCTTTTCCTATCTAGCATTCAGTCTCACCCCACTGTCTCATTCTTGTTCATTCCTTAAATAAACGAGTGTAAATAGAATACATGAATGAAGGCAGTAACGAATCAGAAAAAGAGGTGGCGTGTAACCCACTTTCTTGTTCCTGAATCCCTGTGATTAGAGAAGGGAGATGAAAATACCTATCAGATGTGAGTCCCAATTTGTCTTAAAATAGTGAAGGGACAGTTCCTCTTCTCTTCTTTCTGGGATGAATTTGGGGGGCAAGGAGTCATTAAGAGACTGAAGAGAAGCTGAAGAAGTGGTCAGAGTGCCTGGTTGGATGATGCCTGTGTTCAGGGTGCATCAGTCTTGTCTGTGTGCACATGGACTGAGAGGAGGGTCTGTCCGAAAAGAACCCCCAGGGGACCATCAGAGGTTTCTGACTCTGAGATGGGGGTGGAGGAGAGAGGGGTTATTGACTGGAAAAACAGGTATAAGGCAAATAAACACCAAAGAAAAACAATGTCTGACCTTCAAGTCCTAGTGAAATAGGCCTAGAGTCTCCAGAACAATTAATGCAGCAACTTGTGGTAAATATGCTTTGGCCAAACACTCTTAGAGAGAAATGATTCCTGTATGTAAGTTTTTTTTTTTTTTCTCAGGAACTTCAACCCATAGGGAATCTCTTCAAGAGAAGCAGAGGAATTAGTTTTAAGGGCAGTGCAAGGATCTGCAACCCAGAGGAAGAATATAGAAACCCTTCAGAGAAGAGGGTTTCAGGACAGCAGGTGTAGGACTCAGGGTGACTTTAGAACAGTGGTTCTCAACCTGTGGGTCGCGACCCCTTTGAGGGTCAAATGACCCTTTCACGGGGGTAGCCTAAGACCATCAGAAAACACATATATAATTACATATTGTTTTGTGATTAATCACTATGCTTTAATTATGTTCAATTTGTAACAATGAAATTGGGGGTCACCACAACATGAGGAACTGTATTAAAGGGTCTCGGCATTAGGAAGGTTGAGAACCACTGCTTTAGAACAAAGGCCATAATTTAAAGTGTAGAGGGGAGGGGCAACAGAATCACCTGGGAGGTGTTTGTGTATGTTTGTTTATTCTTTCAAAACAAAGCCTCCTGTCAGATTCCTGTCAAATTCTCCTCTAATCTTGCTAACCCTCTCACTCCCACTTTAAAAACACTGTTCTGGACCTCATACCTGGAAATTACGGTGAGAAACATTATAAAGGAGATTAATAATATCTCCGGGCCTCACATTGCAAGTTTAAGGCAGCTGTCTACAATCCTTCGTCTTTTTGAGTGACCGGATTTAGCAGGAAAAGAAACTCAAGATTGTTCTGTGTTAAAGATGATAAATCCATGCTCTGAAAACTATTTTGTGGTGTTACTTCTGAAAATTCTCACCTCACCTAAGCTGAACTAATGCAGATCTTGGTCAGGATAGGTGGGAGAGGAGTGTTGTCCTGAAGACCAGGTGAAGTGGGGACAGATGGACAGGTGAAAGTGAAAACACAACAGGAAAAGTTGAGGAAAATCATATTTATTTTTTTTTTTAAATATATTTTATTGATTTTTTACAGAGAGGAAGGGAGAGAGATAGAGAGTTAGAAACATCGATGAGAGAGAAACATCGATCAGCTGCCTCCTGCACATCTCCTACTGGGGATGTGCCCGCAACCCAAGTACATGCCCTTGACCGGAATCGAACCTGGGACCTTTCAGTCCGCAGGCCGACGCTCTATCCACTGAGCCAAACCGGTTTCGGCAGAGGAAAATCATATTTAGAGATTTCCTTCCTACCTCAGACCAAATAGCAGATATTTAAGGAAATAGTGAAATTTCTCTTTATTAAATAATATTTCTTCTAAAATGTCATGTTTTCAGAGACTATTAATTAGTTCTGTTTACAAGCAAATTTTTTGTATTTAAGTGTTATTTTTGTACAAATGCTCAGACTCTGTAGCTTAGTATAGTTTGGGCTAAGTGCTGTGGTAGTGACTTGTTTAATCAGTGAATTTGAAGCTTTTTTACACATGCAATTTTAAAAGAAGGATTGAAAAATGAAGAGATAGGCCCTAGCGGGGTAGTTCAGTTGGTTAGAGCATTGTCCCAATACGCCAAGGTTGAGGGTTCAATCCCTGGTCAGGGTACATACAAGAATCAACCAATGAATGCATAAATAAGTAGAATAACAAATTGATGTTTATCTCCTTCCTTCCTATTTTCCCTCCCTTCCTTCCTCTCTCTCTCTCTAAAATCAATCAATAAATTATTTTGAATGAAAAATGAAATTTAATTTCACACTGTGAAATTAAGAGTCATATTTTCAAACTTATCACCTGTATGTATATTTTTCCTCCTTTGATGAAGAGATTGTGAACAATTATAGAGAAGAAACTGGAAATGAATCTAAGAATAATGGGTACCTTACAGAAGCAATCTAAAGCAAGATATTTTAATGAAAAGACTATTTAAAAGTTTCACTATGAATTTTGTATTTAATTTATTGGAAAAGAAACATGTCAAGAGGTTTAAGTCATTACAGTCATCTAATTATTAGATGTAAAGCATTTATAGAATATTATCTCTTTCCGTGTAAAATATTTCAGCAAAAGTAAAATACAACAAATAGGGCTAAATTTTTTTTTTCTTTTTTGGCTGTCATAATTCCAAGTTGTTCCTGCATGCATAAGCGTTGTGATTAAACTTGTGTCATTTATTGTGCAATAGCAATATATTTATTAAAATTGGGACTCTGTTTTTATAAGTGTGCCGAATCATGAACCAACTAAATACTGTCTTCTTTGAAACATTTTAAAGTGTGTTCACAACGAAACCAAGAGTGAATTGGAGAAGATGTTGAAATGTAATGAGGAACACCCAGCCTATCTTGCAAGTGATGAGATAACTACAGTCCGGAAGAACCTCGAATCCCGAGGAGTAGAAGTAGATCCAAGCTTGGTAATAAATATGCCAAAAAGCATGCACTTGCTTCCTTAATCTTTGTTTCTTGTTGGATAATGCCTTTGGATTCTCTTTTTCCTCACTTATAATAAATATGAGGATAAAAATAATTACAGTTTAGACTACTTTTTGCTTAACTTCATGATGTTTATTTGGGGAAAATAAGAATAAAAATGATTTTGGGCCTGTGTTTCCTAGTTAGAGTGTAAGGGATCAAAACCTCACTTTAATATTAGCTTAAATTGGCTTAAGTGAAACCCAACGAGAAAAGTAATTCTAGTGAGACAGTCATATAAAATTTCAGAGCCACATATAAATTCTTTTAAAGATTATCTGCTATTTATGTTTTCTCATTTAAGAAATGAGTATACATACTTACTTTAAATTCCACCAGAGTTCAGAACAAGAAAACTGACATTCAAAACAGTTATAGCTGTTATATGTAGTAGCTTTATTTATAAACTAGAGGCCCAGTGCATGAAATCTGTGCATGGGTGGCGTCCCTAGGCCTGGCCGGCAATCAGGGCCTATGGGGGCCATCTCGCCATCCTGATCGGGCCGGGCCAGCTGGGGCCTGCCAGCTGCTGGCTGCCGAACGGGGCCAGAGGGACAGGGGGGAGAGACTGCAGGAGGTTTGCCGGCCAGGGGGAGGGACTGGGGGAGGTTGGCTGGCCGTGGGAGGTTGGCTGTGGGAGAGCACTGACCACCAGGGGGAAGCTCCTGTGTTGAGCGTCTGCCCCCTGGTGGTCAGTGCACATCATAGCGACTGGTTGACCGGTCGTTTCAGTAGTAATGGTCACTTAGGCTTTTATATATATAGATTGAAAATGAAATTAAGACTAATGATTACATGAACATAGATTTAATTTATCCACATTGTCCTAGTTCTCATTAATAATTAGTTGTATCCAGTTTGATACTTTTAAGTTTTCTGTGGCTATAAGTACAGTGGGAGGAACTTTGTCCATATGTAGGATGTGGATTGGCTGCATATTCTGTGAGCAAGAAAATCTCAGGGTTTTTTTCCAGGAGACACTTTGTTCAGTGCACTTTATGAACCTATAAAAATGGTAAGAAAGTACTCTGATAGGAATAGTGGATGGACTAGATATCAGGAGATGTGAATTCTAGTACAGTTTTATTCCATTTGCTAGTAATATTACTTTTAGTAATTGATATAATCTCTCTGAGCCCCTTTTTTCACCTGTCAAATGGTGGTGGTGATACTTATTCTACCTACTTAATATTGTTATGCTTTAAAAACGATAGTGGTATGAAAGAACCTTGAACGCTAACGGAGTGTATAGCAATAAGGGGCGGGGGGAGATCATAGTGATGTAGTAACTGAAATTTAATAATCAGAAAGGAAATATTGTTGGGTTAGTTAATGGGCATGGTCTGAAACCACGTTCTAGTCCTAACTCTATCCAAGGTTCAAAACCTCTTGTTGCCTTGGAATCTTTACCTTGAATTAGGGTAAGATAATTTCTACTTTTGCTACTGTACAAGATGATTATTTGACTATAATAGCAATGGTTGTTAAAAAATACTGCAAATTTTGAAGTACATAAGCTGGTAAGGGGACAGACGAGTAGGAAATCTAGTCTTTGTCTTGAAAAAATTTAATGGATAAAAAAGGTTGGTAGAATAACAACGTTGCCATTGGTTTTAATTAATTTTTTTAAATATAAATAAGCTTTGTAGATGACTTTTCAGAATGTGTTTGATTAACTTGACAAGTGTATAATAGCTCTGGTGTTTGTTTTCTTTTTTCATTAGATTAAGGACACTTGGCACCAAGTTTATAGAAGACATTTCTTAAAAACAGCTCTAAACCACTGTAACCTGTGTCGAAGAGGCTTTTATTATTATCAAAGGCATTTTGTAGATTCTGAGGTAAGGTTTCAAAAAACAAGTAGAAATGTTTTATAGCAATAGTATTTTAGATGTTTAAAAGTAAACTTTAGCTTTAGCATTAATTTTAAGTCTTTTGATCTTCTGGAAAAAATGTGTGATTTATAAAGAGTAATCTAGCCCCTATCTTTTCAAAGATATTTACCACTTTGGTAGTATTTGCACCTTCCATGCATATCATCCCAGTGCCTGTAAAATTGTGTGGGCATATAATAGGCACTAAACCGCTTTAAAATATTTTTTAAGAATTAACTTCTTCTGTTATAAAATAATACATTCCCATTGTAGAAAGCAAATTCAATAAATAAATGTAAAAAATATGCAAAAGGAAATAGTCCCTTATAACCCTTCACCTAGAAGTAATTTTAATTAACCTTTTTTTATATATTTTTGTTCAACTCTTTCTACGCAAGATTGTATGTGTGTGTATGTGTATAAGACAGTTATCCATTGAATAGTGGAAATCATACTGTAAAACAGTTTTTATTGTGCTAGTTTCCTATATTAGGTTGTAATTCTTTCTCTCAATAAAATCTTGCTTTAAATTATTAAAGCACTATAAAGTTTTTGGAATGGACAGTTGTAGTTTAACGTCACATTTTACAAAGTAACCTGTAGGTGGCAGCAAACGGACATATTTTGAGCATTTTTTTTACAAGCAGAAATGTTTTGAAATGTATCCTGAAAATGCTCTATTGATCAGTGATCTTATTTGAGCCCCTAAAATGATTTCCTTTTGAATTTTCAGCAGCTTAAAATAAATTTACAATTAAATGCACCTATTGTTAAAAAGTTGCAAATTTTTTGCCCTAATTTTAAATGTTGAGAAGACCTCTACAGAATAAACTTCTTTTTAAATATATATCATTAATTATTTTCATATACAGCTGAATTTCAGAGATTTCTTGAGTATACACTCAAAGAAAAGAGGTTAACCTAAGGACATACTTTAACATGGTTATGTGTTGAAACTAAATACAAATTAAAGGTCATAATATGCTGTGGATTTCTGCTTGTATAAAACGTAATGAAATGCCCTACTTCCCAAGTTTATTTGCTTTCTTATTGGAATTAAAACAAAGTTATATAGGTGTGTGGTAGATAGAACCCAAATTATGCAGAATTTGATGGATCCTGTGCAGAAATTATTCAGTAGCTTCTATCTACAATAGGAATATACACTGAGTGTCCAGATTATTATGACCGGCCAGATTATTATGACCACCCCATTAGTACAATGAAGTGAATTAGTTATGCAAATAATAGTAATAATAAAATAATAATAATAATAATAAAACCTTGAGAGTATTTGCTTAGGAAGTTTTCAATATTCAGTATTTTTGGAAGTGTCAATGAAGTACTGGTAGAGTGGTCATAATAATCTGGCCACTCAGTGTATATGTTAGGTAAGTCTGAGTATTTTTAAAGCTTAAGCTAGAGGCACTTATTTAGTAGTTGTCTGTGTTTATGATCAAATTTATGTTTAAACTTGCATTTGGTAATCTTAATTACCTGATATTTCAGTTGGAATGCAATGATGTTGTCCTATTTTGGCGAATACAGCGCATGCTTGCAATCACGGCAAATACTTTAAGACAACAACTTACAAACACTGAAGGTAAGTCACAGAGGGACCATTTTCTAATTTTGACATAAAAAATACAGTAATAACATCCATTTATAATAGCATGCCCTAATTCTTCCTTTATGATAGATTTATTTGAAAAACTGAAAATTATTATTTGCCCTTAAAATATTAATGAAAATAAATCATAATTGAAAAGGATGGAGACAGAACATAGCAGGAGTCTCTCTTTATTACAGAAAAACTCTGTTAGAAAAGGACTCCTAAGCATCACTTAGTTTTTTTTGAGAAATCTGCACTTCTGTTAAAGTGTCAGAGCTTGAGAATATGACTCTGAGAAAATATATTTGTTTTATGTTGTTAAAAGCACTGAATAGTAGGTAAATATTCTCCCTGTAACTGTGAGAAGTCTGAACTTAATAGATCTAATGTGATGAGAAAAATAAGAACTTACTCCACGTATTGTTAATTTCATATCCTTGTCCATTCATAAAAACGGTGCTCCTCAGGTTTTTTATTTACTTTGAACAGTCAGACGATTAGAGAAAAATGTTAAAGAAGTACTGGAAGATTTCGCTGAAGATGGTGAGAAGAAGGTTAAGTTGCTCACTGGTAAACGAGTCCAACTGGCTGAAGACCTCAGTAAGTACTTCCTCCTGCCTTTCACTTTGCTGCCTTTTCACCATCCCCAGTTCTGTTTCTTGTTCATCCATTTAACCTCAGACTTACAGTATATGCAAAGAACTTTTCTTCCTGAACTATTTGAGGGAAAGATGCTGACTTGAAGCCCCATCTCTTCTAAGTACCTTAATGTGTGTTTCTTAGAAATAAAGAGTTTCTCCTAGCAACCATTAAAATCAGGATGTTGATACTGATTACAACGTCTAATTTCACACCCCATCCAAGTTCCCCTTTTGTCCTAATATTGTCCTTCCATGTCACAAGATGTTCCATGCTCATTCTGTACTCTACCTGACCCAGCTGCTTTTTTTTTTTTTTTTTTTTGAGAATGGTATATAGAAGTCAAGAGCTGGGAACTGATATGCTCATTATTACTGGAATATTGCTCTTCCCAGACCCTCTCAGTGGAAAGAGCTAGGGAACAAACACTGCATGTGTGCATGCACACTCATAAATACACATACACACATTTGCATCTTATTCCTGGTCATACATATATGTCTGTATTAAAAAACCATAAGTTGACATTAGTACTTATCATTTGAATTCAATAATCCAGGGTTCTTGTTTTCTCTTTTTCCATATTTGTAACTCCTTTTTCTGACAATGAGAAATCAGGCTCTAGGTATCATTAATATATTTACTTATTTTGATCAGTACTCCTTTATGTAACCATACTTGTCGCTCTCCCCTTCATTGAACGAGCATTCTCTTCACCCACCTCAGGCTTTTACACTGACTCCAGGCCACCTCTGCAGTGCCTCACCCTGTGCTGGTACCCTTTTCACCTCATGGAGGCCCTGACATCCCGTGTCAGGATGCCCTCTTCATGGAGTCCTTTTTACTGAGCTCAGGCTCTGTCCCTTTGTGCAGACATCTCCCCCTCTCATTCTCCCTCACCCTGCACTCTACTCAAGGAATCCCTCCTCACCTGAAGTCAGACTATGTTTTTATGGAGACGCCCTCTTCATCCTGCTTGTGCTCCAATGCCCTGCACCGACTACGTTCCTACACAGACACTCTCCTCACCTCTAGGCCGGGCCACCAACTCCCCCATGTGAACACCCTCTTATACTTGGTCCGGCTTCTCACCTGCACTAGGCAGTGTGGCTTTCCCTTCCCCTCCACCATCCCCACTCCACTTTGTGGAGTTATTTAGTTCTTTCCTGATGCTAGTAGGTTTTTAGCTTTAAGATGTTTTACTTGCTTATTAAGATTTACTTAGATCCTCAAGAACCTAAGGAAGTCAGTGAAAGATTAATATTATTAAATAAAAATACTGGGGATTGGCACTTCTCTTTGAGTCTACCTTGTTAATAAGTTTCCCTTACTTAAGCTTCATGAAACAAAGTATTTTTTCTTTCATTTTATACTTAAATGTATTATCCAGTGAGTTTTCTGATATCTAAAAGAGCATATGCTGAATAGAAAGAAGTTCTTCAAATTTTAAAACAGTTTCTAAGCTGAATTTATATCAGTACAATACAGTCACTAGAATATTCATGAGAAAGCAGGCAATTTTCCTATTTTATACCCTGAGCCTAAGCAGCATGCTATTTTCCACGGTTTATCTTTTCCTTCTTGCTCCATTTCTAAGTTATCTGAACTCTTCATTTCTGGTTTTTCCTTTTCTTTCTTTAATAATCTTTTTTTGGAACATACTTTAACTTTTATTTCCATTTTCTATTGACTTTCTTTTGTTTTTGTTATTCATGTCACTTTGGCAACATAGTTAAGTTTGTGCTAACTTAGAGAAGATCTATGTTAACTCAGAGTTGCCAAAGATTAGCTGTGTTATCTTGGGCAGGTATCTCCCAGAGCCTTAGCTTCTTTGTGAAAATGACTACATACTAGAATAGTTATTGCACAGCATTGTTAAGAGAATTAGTTCAAAACCATTTGGAAGTCCCTGGCTCATAATTTCACGATAAATTAATGCTGTTCCAGGAAGAGCTGTGTCATATCACAATGTATACAGTATATCTTTTTATTCCTCAGGACATAGTTATCAGACAGTGAGAACTTCCACGTATTTTACCAGCATATACATTTTTAAGTGATTTAGAAAATGATGTGTCTCTTCTCATGTGTGTAACCCCATGATTTTCCATTCCCAATTTGATTCTTTAAAGAACGTGTATTACTAACACAAATTTGTGCACTGTCAAGCCAGGCCATATGTTCTGCTGATTTTCCTTGAAATGATTGACTACCTCTGTTCATATAAAATTATGATCACATTAATGTATCAAATAATGTACTTGGAAACAAGTGTTTGACTAGTGACTCAGCTTCGTTAGTCCCACTTAGGGAGATGAGCCATGACTTGGTCCATTAAATGTAAAGAATCTTGAATATATCTCCTTATTGTTTATCTTCAGTCTAACACTTGGGAATCTGGTCATGGATACTTTCAGCGAGAAAAGTTTACACAGATCAAAGTGTCTAGTATAGCACATTCAGTTAGAATATAGCATGTTAGTTAACAATTTAGAGAAGAGAGTCAATCAAGAGAGTTTTTACTGTGATTTTAAAATTGTACAGGGTAGAACATTGTAGAGATTGGTAAAATTTGATGCATCACATTTATTGCCAGTCTAAAATTTGCTTGATTTTAAATAATTTCACCACTTTACTTTGGAGATTCACCAACTGGTTAGCCTTTAAGATGAGTATATAAGAAGTAGTACAGTATTCTCTCATCTTCTAAAAAAGATATACCATGTTCACTAGTGAAATGAAATCATGAAGCTGGAATTAGGAAGGTCAAAGAAATGAGAGAGGAGCCCACTTCTAGTCTCCGGAGGCTCCTGGGAAGAGGAGTCATACGTAGAACTAGAACTCTTCGGAGATATGGTAGATTCCATAGCTGGAGCAGGGAAAGGTAGGATGAACCTGGAGCATCTTAAGGTATAGAAAGTAAGGAATTACTTGAAGAATGGTGGGGACATGTCAACAGGATATAGAGCCAGCTCGAAGAGGCTCCAGCTGGCCAAGACTAGGATAATTTGGGTATGAAAATAAATAATGATAGTTATAAATTATAACCCAGTCAGTAAAATAAATCCATGTTAATATTTATATTAATAAATGAATAAAATCAGTGATGAGGAATGGGATGTTTGTATAATCACACAAAATATCTCCATACAAAATAATTAAAAAGAGAAAAAGAGTAATTTTACATTGGAGAAGCCTTGGCGATACCACCTAGTCAAGCGGTCAAAGTTAATATCAGTGATGGTCAAATCAGACCTGTGGACGCCTTATAGAATGCAGTGAGAAGAACCCAGCATCACTTCTAGCGATGTATAACTTAAGTCCCATTATAAAGATACACCAGACAAACCTAAATTAAGGCACAGTCTACAAAATAGCCTGTAGTCTTCAAATGCATCAATATCATGCGAGACAGGAAAGACTGGGATCTGTTCTGGTTGAAGGAGACTAAAGAAATGCAATGTGTGTGCCTGCACAGGCCCTTTTTGCTCTAAAGGACATTAGTGGTCCAGTTGATAAAATGTGAAGGGGATCTGAGGGTTACAAGGTAGTAGTCCCTCAGTGTTAATTTTTAAACTTTATTTGTTAAATTAGTACTCTTTAGGAAAAGATCCTTGTTTGTAGCTTATACCAATAGAATATTTGGGGCTTCAGGGGCATAATGGCGTAAATGATTGAGGGAAAATATGTTCTTTGTAGTATTCTGACAACTTTTCTCTAAGTCTAAGATTATTTGCATTAAAAATGTTTAATTGTGTTTTTATAACTGATAATGGATCAGGCTCATATGAAAATAATTTAAAGAAAACGACACTTTTGAAAATATGTCTTTGAAGATGTCAAAAGACTGTTACCTCATGAACAGTTTAATAAGATACACAGCTCATCTGTTCACCTTAGTTTTTTATTTGCAGTGTCTAGTCACACTTAGACCTGTGTGGTGTGTAAATATGCCCACTTTGACTTTGATAAAATTATTTTGATTTTGTAATGAATTTTATTTCAAAGGATATAAATAGATATTTAAATAGTGTTAACTTGGATAAAATCTATTTGGATTTCCAGCAGAATTTTTAATAATGTTTCCAACCTATTTATTCAGACAGACTTCAGTTTTAAAATGCTTTCTTTGGAGAGGGGAAGATTGGTATACAATAACTTAAATCAAAGTTTTTCTATTATGCTCTGTTTTATGATTTATAAAATGTATTTTATAATTGTCATTATATAGAACAAGTGATAGTGCTGTCACCTCACAGACTTATTTTTAGAGTTTGTTCTCCATCCACCTCAAGCACTAGTGGTAATTGCTGGCAGTGTTGCTAAACTGAGTTTCATCAGTCCACCCGGGAATTCTCTTATTGTTTGCCGTGAATATGGTGTCAGCTGTTAACTAGGTTATTGTGAGTGTTTGGACCTTAAATTAATTGCTTAGGATTCAGACCTTAGGTTTCTTTTAACTCTTGTTCATGAAAGCTCGAGTTACACTTTCCATTCTCTGTGTACATAACCAAAGAATCAATGATACACAAGAATTAAAGGGGCATTACCAATCCTTTAGATCGCTCTTTCCAAGAACTATGAAGTCTTTCCTATTTTACAGTGCATTCCTTTTCATTTTGGTATCAGAACCTGAGCTGTTTATGAAGGTATTTTTCTCTCCCAGATATTAGGCTTTGTGCTTTACATGCATTCTCATAGGTACAGTCATTTTTCTTATTTTATAGATAAGGAAATAGAGGCTTAGAAACACATAGATAATAAGTGGTAAAGCCAAGAATCAACCCCAAGTCTTTTAACTACCGTTCCAAACTAATTTGAGGAAGAAAAAAACAAAACAATGGTTCTTTACATTTGGATACTTCCATAGTTGACAATATACTTTACGGAGTAGGTCAGAAAGACACACATAATAGTGATGATGATGATCATCCTTTGTACTTCCTACACTATAAAAAGCT